GTCTGACTGTGCCTATCCTGGAGGTGTGTACTTGCACAAATTAATCACACGCCCCGGAGAGCTTGGGCAAGAGAAGATGGATTATCGAGTGCCCCAAGGCAGGGGCAGGAGTCAGACCCCTGTGCCCCTCAAAGCTGCAGGTAGAAAGTGAAGGGATCCCGAGACCCCAGCCTAAGCAGAGTGACCGCAGCGTCGAACAGCAGATAACCAAGTTGCTGGGAAGGCAGCGCGGCCCCTTCTCTGTCCCCAACATGCTTCTGCACAGATCCAGGCAACGGAGGAACTGGGAAAATGCCTGCTCGCCCCTGTGAGCCACCTCACGTCCCTCTGAAGGGCACTGTTTACTGCCTTTGAGCTCCTGCGAGGGGCGAAGACTCCCTCGGCAGCTCCCGCGGGGAGGCGGAGCCCCCAGCAGACCACGTGACGGAGTAAGATTCTGCCCAGACCACACAATAAATAGTGCCTGATCCAAGGGGTCTGCGGGGGACCCCAGAACTCCCCTCTAGCAAGAAGCATGGACAAGATGTAGGCCTGAGTCCTGGCTCCCAACGGCCTGCTTTCTTATGCTACCTCCGGGAGTTCTCACCTCCCTGTAACAGTTTCTTCCAGTAAATAGAAGAGATTTAACAGTGAGAGAATATTCTTTTCTTAATATCTTTTTTATTGGAATATAATTGGCATTTAACATTATGTTCATTTCAGGTGTACAACATAATGTTTCAATCTTTGTTTTCTTAAAACACCTTAAAAATGAAGGCAACGAGGGCCTCCCCTGGTGGCGCAGGCAGTTGAGCGCAGCCTCTGCAGCGTGGGTTCGATCCCAGCCGGCCGAGAATCCCACATGGCACCGCAGACCTCTCCTGTCTCGCCCGCTGCTCCCCTCAGCAGTGCTTTCAGTCCGTCTGCCTGTTCTATTCCCCACTCTGTCTCTGGTGAATCTTCTCACCCTCCAATGCATCTGGCCTGTACCCCGGTTCTTGAATGCATGAATAAATAAATTTTTTTTAAAAAATTTTAAAAAAATGAAGGTAACAAGGATGATGATGACATACTGCAGGAAGGACATGTCTTGTCACCCACACACTTCAGGTGGGGCACCATGGGGCACCCCTTTTCTCCATCATTCTCCCGGACCATCTAGGAAAACCAGAGGGTAGGACTGGAGGTGGAGAGGGTGCTGTGCCCCCTGGAGTGCCCAGACCCTACGCTGTGAAACCTAGTCAGACGCACCCCCCCACCTCCCGCCGCCCCAGACCCTCAACACTTGCCCATCTCACCCAGAGACACCACCACCAGCAACGAGGGCCTCCTGGGCCTACAAGGGTCCTGATATCTGAGTGCCTCCCTGGGGCCTGCCCCCCATTCATCAACCCTGGCACAATGGCTGCTTCCCGGACTCCTCCTGCCTCCCACGTGGTTCTAGCAGCTTCCCCTGTCCTGGGATTCACCCTAGATCTCCTTGGGCTCAGCTCCCCAGGCTCCCCGCTCTGCAGACTAAATCCCGCCCTGCTCCCTTCCCTGCACTGCTGGGCTCTCCTCTGGCTTCAGCACATTCACCCTGCACCAGGCAGACGGCTGCTCATGCCGCAATGCTCTTGCTGCCAGAATCTCAGCAGGGATGTTTGTCACTGCCCAAGAGCCCAGAACCATTCTGCCACATAGCAGGAAGGTGACGACCACAGATGAACCTGGATTAAGGAAGGGGAGGGGAGGCCTCAGGGTGCAAAGAGCAGCTGGTACTCTGGTACTTCACCACAGACACCCCCTCCCACACACACACCTCAGCTGCCAGGGCTGTGGGGCTCCCTCCTTCCTGGGTGATTTACCCCTCCATGGGGTGTAGCCAGGCTTGAGAAGCCCAGCCCAGCGAGACATGCCTGCGGATCCCAGCTCTGCCCCCAGCCTGGGCAGATCCATAGGGCAAGCACTTTTCCAGGTGGGCAAAGAACATGTGGGCTTATTTGTTTACAAAGGGAATGCTTGGAGCCCCAGTATCTTGCGGAGGACCCCAGCACGGCCCCGAGTGGTCCGGACACTCCTCATGGCTTCCCAAAGAGCCATCCCCCTGATCAGATTGGACTGTGTTTCCACAGGAGCTTCTTCTTGAAGAAAGGGCTCTGCTCCCAAAGGTCTTTGAGAACCAGGGACTCGGTTGGGACATGCTGGCCTGACCCTTTCTGGGCCTGGGGAGGGTGGCCTCAGACCCGTGGCTTCCCTTGCCCGTGAAGCGAGGTTGGCCCAAAGTGCCCTTCTAATCCAAGGCCCAGGGGACCTCGAGTCACAGCAGTAGACGCGTCCCGAGGACGTGGGATCTGTGAAGAGGGGGGAGACAGTGTCTGCAGAGGGACAATCAGCATCGCACAATGTAACGCTCTAATGGCAATCTTTTATATTAGAGCAGACATTATGGAGCACAGTTCCATCAAACAAATATAATGGACTCGTTTTCTATTACCATGCACACTGTAATTACACATTCCAATAATTCCTTCCGAGCATCGCATGGAAGCGTTCAGAAGTAATGGAGTTCTGTAACCACATATAATAACTCGCCACAGGGATGACCCAGTGGGTGGTGACAGGGTGAAGAGCCCTTCCAGCTGGCGGGGAGAACCAGTCTCCTCTAGTCCCGAGGCTGCCGGGCTCTGATTGATCTCGGGGGCACTTGGACCAGCCCATCAGGCAGGCGTCCCCTCCAATGTCCAACCACACCTGCGGGCCCCGGGCGTGCACTACCTCCTAGGCTAACTATGTGATGGGTCCCGCCACCGGGAAACTGGTTTGGACATGACCACACACCACGGCACACGGCTGCTAACGTCACATGATCCCATTTCTGTTGACACTCAAAACACTGCGCCATAACACATCACTTCAAATGTGGTGGCTTAAAACCACACACACGTGTTATATTACAGTTGCACAGAAGCCCGACGTGGTTTCACCGGGCTGCAATCAAGGAGTTGGCGGGATGGTGTCTTTTCTAGAATTTCTAGTGCAGAATTGGTTGCCTCGCCTTCTCTGCCTCTTTCGCTCACCTGCATTCCTTGACCTGTGGTCCCTTCTCCAAAGCCAAGCGCTCGCTGACCCTCTCTCTGTTGTCGGGTCTGTCTCAGACCACAGCTGGGACAGCTTTCCCTTTTAAGGCCTCGCCTGGATGATGTAGACTCTCCCCACCCTCTGAAGGTCCCTAACATTAAGCACATCGGTAAGTCCCATGTGGCCTTGTAAATCTCCCAGGTTTACAGGTTCCAGGTTCCAGGGAGTAGAGACTGGATAGATCCCACCCCTGGTATTATTTTAGCATCGCACAAATAGACTGCGAGTTGCTTTTCACCTATAAAAAGGGCATGAAAGTTTATAGCGTTAAAAGCCACAATCCATGTGTCGCACCTGGCATATATATTTTCTAAGAATGGAAAACAAATTCAGTGACTGTATCGACAATATAATCCACTTTGTCAAGATCCTGCCAAAATTGGGAAGGAAATAAAGGCAAGTTAGAGGCAGAGCGAGACCACTGACATCTCTCGTCTGGACCCTCTGTCTCTTAATGTAGCCAAAGTTCCACTAGCTTTTAGGGTCCCTTCTCTGGTCTCAGTCAACTTAGCTGCTTGCAGTTTATTAAAGCCCTAAGTCTACTTGCAGTTACAAGGGATTTGTGCCCATTTTATATGGAAATAAACTGAGGCTTAAGGGATAGAGGCCCAGCCTTGAGGCTGAGAGGAGGGAGCGAGGCTGATGAGGGAGGCAGGATCTCAAGACAGGACACCCTTGCACAGAGCCTCGAGTGGCAGAGCAGGAGATGCCTTGAGAGGTGAAGAGGAGCGTGGCAAGGCTGACCCATGGGTGGGAGAAGAGATAGGCCCAGAGAGCTGGGCGCTGAGGGCCAGGTCAGACAGCTGGGCTCCCAGCTAGGAGAGTGGTCTGGAAGGGTGAGCAGGCATGAAGTGAGATGATCAGGCTTGTGATGACAATCTCCCCTGGCAGACACCAGGCAGGACAAGTGGGGGCAGGACGAGGGGGCAGGAGATTCCTTGGCTCCTTCCCTAATGCCAAGCTAACAGCCCCAGTCCTGAGCACCTCACCTGCAACCTCCTGCTTCATGCCCAGACCATACCTCACTACCACGGGCCCCCACTAGCTTCAACACCCTTGCACAGGTGGTTCCCTCTGCCTGGAGAGCCTCTCCCACACCTACCCTTAACTTCTGCCTGTGAAGGGCTCCATCGCAATCTCACCCTCCAGGCCGACCTCTCTCCTTGAATGAGGACGTGCCTTTGCAGGAGCCAGACCCAGCGGTCTTGACCCTCCCTTACTGCCCCCCTGCCAGGCACACAGTGCCACATGCCTACACACACAAACCCCCAAGTCCCGCTAAAAATCTTGAATCCACCCTGCAGCCCAGGCCCATCCCTGCCTAGGGGAGGCCGTCCCAGCCTAGGCTCTGGAAGCTGCCACCCCCAACTCCAGCACTGTCCTTCTCCACAGCCGGCTGGACATTGCCCAGGCACAGGTCTGTCCGTGTCTCTGCTGCCGACACCTCCCTGCTGCTCTGCAGAGAAGCCCCCTCCCTCGTGCTGGCCCGAGTCCTGCACCTGCCCTCTGGTCGCTCCCTCCTGGTGGGATTCTGAGACCCGGCCACACTGGTAGACCATGGGCCACAGGCCTTTGTCAGGCCTTCTGCTCCGCCTAGAACCCCCTCATCCCCCACCTCACTCAAATTCCAAAGGGCAATCAGCCCCACGGGGACACAGCAGGGCACCCCTCTGCACCAGCATGGGCCTCCCTTCTGGAGCCCTTGACACGTGTCACTCTTCCTGACGGACACGATCGGTGCGCTCGCCTCTCCCCTCTAGGCCTCGCAGATCTGGGAAAGGTGGGTAGAAAAAGCTCTGGGGAGAAGATGCTGAATTTTATAAAACTGAGTATCTCCCCACTCCCAAGTGTTCACCTCCCACCCCACACCCCCTCCGGCACAAACATGTGTCCCGGTCGGGTTCCCAGACATTGGCTTTCAACTCCAAGGTCTCGTCACCAGGTCTCCCCAAGCCTGTGACTCTGACCCAGTCATTCTGGAGAAGCCAGAGAGCCCCGTTCTCCCCTTGCCTGCCACCCAGTGCCACAAACAGGCTGGGACCACACGTCGCTCTGTTTGGAAGAAAAAAGTAGCATGAACACAAATAGAGGCTCTTTTTAAACCTGAAAACCTGTAATTAAGCTCTCGTGACTGCCTGTTAGCAGCGTGACTGTGGCGGCTGAGAGGAGAGGAAGGTGGCTGGTACCCACCGCGCAGTTGTGTTAACATGGAGATCCAGGACAGGAGGGGCTGCCCTCTGGGGCCAGGCCGGGACAGCACTTCCCCACGGACGGGTCAAATGGACAGAGCCAAGGGGGCTCGGGGAAGACGTGAGGACAGAGCTGAAGAGGGATGAGCCGGCGGCCGCAGCTCCGTCTCCCACTGGGGGTGAAGGGACCAGGCCCAGGGAAAGGCAGAGGCTGGCCGGGCCAGGGCTGGGCTTTGGGTCTAGTGTCACAACCTCTGAGCAGGTTGCGAGCAGAAGCACCCCCAGTTATACTCCAGCCCACCCAGAGCACCTGAGCTCTTGTTGAATGTGCTCCCAGCAGCACAGTGCAGGGGCCTCCTTTTGAATCCAGCTCCCCTGTGTGATGCTGGGTGTTGCCCCGTGCCCCAGGCCTCTGTGCCCCAGCACTCTCCCACGGGACTGTCATATGATAATGCTAGAAAGATTGCCCGCCTCACAGGAGCCTGAACAAATCTCCCCCTTTAGGGAATTGCTTTCTCTCCACCAGTCTGAATTCATCCAGGAGATGGAGAAGCTCTGGGGATGTTCAGTGAGAGAATATATTTGCTGCCCTGTGCTAGGCACCAGGGCCTCAGTAGGAAGGCGATCACACTGAGTCTGCACCTTTCCAGCCAGCTAGCTAGTAACAGGGCATAACCTAAGAAGTCATACTTGCACATCCAAGGTCACAAGGGTCAGTGCCAGTGAAGGGAATTGAGGTGTGACAATGTCTAATAGGGGCTCCTGACCAAGAAAAATACTCTGAGGCAACAGGAATCACTAGCAAGAGAAGCTGGGATAGTGGCTGGGAGCCTGTGGAGGAGGGGGCAGCATATGCAAAGGTCCTGCGGCTACAGGTGCAGCTGCAGCATTGAGAGCTGAAAGCACAGGCAGCGAGGGGACTGACACAGCCTACAGGTCTTGCAGTGGGCATCATTCAATATTTCAAAGCAAGGAGAAAATCTGACCAGCTTTGCATTTTAAAAGAGTCACTCCAGCCATGGTATAGGGACATTTGGAGAGGGAAGGGGTGGCTGTGGGGCCAGCTGGAAAGTCACTGCAGCCTGGGGTCCAGGTGAGAGATGATGGTCACCTGGATGAATGGAGATGAAGGAAGCAATGGCCTTGGAGATGCAATGGGTAGCGATGGTCATGGGTGGGATGCAGAGAGGGAGGGAGAGATGTCAAAGGCATGCTGACTGGAAGGAAAACCTACCCCAAGATGAATGCAGAAGCAAACCGCAATGATTTGTCCACTGTTCGGGCCTCACGGTTAGCCATTCTCTATCTTTCCACATTATAATCCTGCAGATGAGGAGACTGAGACGAAATCCTATTAGGGCCCTGAGGGCAAGACCCTAGGAAGACTCAGGTCCACCCGCCAACGCCCGGCACACAGCAGCCAGTTGGCAAGGCCTTTCTGGTAAGAGGTAAGCAAGTCTGGCCCCTAAGGTGGAGACCCTGTGTTTCTCGAGATGGGATGAGTAATTTGATAATTGAATTTTTGAGTTAGACTTAAAATATGGCCAAGATTGAAGAGGCAATTTGGCAGGGTCAGGAGCCCCTGGGCAGTTTTCTCTGCCTCCACGATGCTGAGAACTTATTAACAAGATCACTCTTCCGTCTTCCACAGTCCCAGTTACAAGTGGTTCTGGGGCTGATGTGCCGAGGAATTCAATTGTGGGTCTCTGGGCCGCTGCTCTGGTCAGCCAGAGACATTTTGTTGGAAATGGCAGAGTGAGAACACTGGGTTAGTAATGCAGGGAAGGGCTGCAGTGTGGGGAATGGATTTCGTCTCGGGGAGACAGGATAATTTAGAGAACAGGTTTTGACCGACCCAGATTAAATCCTGGCTCGCTGCTTCCTCAGGAGTTACCCCACCACGTTCTCAGAATTTGTAAAGTGTGGCTATTGCAGCGCAGGCCTGTGCTGCCTGAAAAGGGGCAGATTTTGCCCATGGGCTCATGGCAGGCCAGTGGCAGATAGGCCTGGGGAGGTGAGCTCAGGGTGTCCTTCCCAAGGCAGGTGAACAGGAGCCCGGGAGAGCGCAGGGCCTGGACCGCTCCCCAGGCTTCTGGCTATATATTTAGCCCCTGCAGCTGTTTCCCTCAGGTGCAGCTCCTCAGGCACATGTGGTGATTAATTTCACCAACAGGAAATTGACGCATTTTCTGATTACTGCTTCAGCACCTCCTGAATTCAGCTGCTGGTAAAATTAACTCGCCAGGGACAATGGAGCTTTTTCCAAGGTCCAAATTGTCCTTATTTGCAGAGTTTGTTCTTGGCCTTAATCCAGTCCAAACAAACTGGTCTGCTTCTCCACCTCCCAGAGGAGGGCAGGTCTTCGCTAGCCCAAGGTTGAGCAGATTTTACACGATTCTAAACTAGGGGATAAAAATACACTGGATTACTGTGTTCCTGAAAAGCTTGGGTGACCTGAAGCAAATGCACATGAATCTCCAACCCCTGCTCTGCAGGCCCTGCCCTGGCCACACCTGGCATTACCACCCAGCAGGACATGAGATCTGCCAGTATCAGAAAAGGATCTCACCACAACACCCCTCCAGATCATGCCCTTGCCAATGACCGAGTTCATTCCTACCAGCTTTGCCCTGACCCCAGCCAAGCCACACACTCCCCACTACAAAGGTGGCACTGACCACACACAGGTATGTCCGGGCCCATCTGATGGCCAGGCCTAACCTGAGCTCTAACCACTGTAGGTACCATTTTTCAACCATCCCAGGCCAGGTAGGTTCACTGTCAGTTCTCACAGATGAAAAGATAACTTGGGAGGCTTTGGTAGAGTTTACCGGCTTTTAATGTTGAATCAGGAGACAGACTAGGCAGGGAGACAGCAACTTGAGCCCTCCCCAGAGTGACACAGCCCTTTAATCCCTAGCCCCTTGGGCAGCACAGGTGTCCCTAGTTACAAACGCACATGCCTGTGCTCTCTGGGCCCAGGAGTCCGAAATTACGGGTGCACAAACTTGGTAAATATGGAACACTATCTCCATAACCCACCAAAGTAATACAAACTGTAACAGAATGCAACTGAACACAACAGAATACAACCCAGAGGCAGGCCCATAATAGGCCACACAGTCAACACAAAAGTCTCAAGGCCTGCACAGGAGCCAGGCTGCCTTTCCTGCCCCTCTCGTTTAGTGTCTGCAGCAAGCTCAGTACATGTTCATTGCCAGCCCTTCCCCGGGAAGGCTAACTGGTGCCTCAGCAATGGAAAAGAAAACGTTAACCAGATCTACTACAAAATGATGTGTGCCCAGCTCCTGGCTCAGGTGATCCAAGTCTGCCACCGAAGGCACTGCTGCATGCCGGGGGATCCACCTTATACAACACATAGCAACCTACCATCACACACACATCAGGCCTCCTCACTGGCCACGTGGGTGAACTGTAGGAACTATGGGCAGCGCATGCATTGTCCACTTTCACCAACTCGGCTATTGTGCCCATAGTCCCTTCATGGCCTCTGGTAACCAACACTGTTTAGTAGTGGTCACTCGCCTGGGGACTGGCAGCTGTATGGCCAGATGCTCAGATGTCTGCACAACATGGCCTTCACCACACGTAGCCTAAGGCAAAACTCTGACTCTGGTTTGTAGCCACAGGATGCACTCCGGGATTGGCAACACATATACTTTGTACTCCTTTGGGGGTAGTCGCCCAATTCCCAGGGGTAGTCTCGCTGCTGTCACCTTGACACTCCAGACTCCCTAGCCACCAATGTAACAAGCAGACCCCTGAAATTTCTCTGGGTTGCCATATAAGAATACACTCTGCCCCCATGTCCACTAAGGCCAAAACCATTTGCACATTGGCTGGGGACCAAGCTCCCCATGTGGCCTCTGGTCCCTGCCTATCCCCCACAGATGGGTTCCTGGCCCTCATCCTAGTCAAAAGGGAACAGGGTCTTCCCCAAGGCCGGGGTCACAGGGCATGTACCTGGAGCCTGGAGTTCCCAACCCTCCCCTTCACAGCAGTCTGTCTTCTCGTGGGTATGAAGCTCTGCCCTCTCTCAATTGTCCCCATAACAGATGAGCACTGGGTCGTGTGTGTATTTTAGCACGATCTACACCTATTCTCAGTAGCTCCCCCACATTTGGGCATGGGCGGCTTTAACAGACTCTGTGACTTTACAAGTCTTGCTTGCCTTTTTTGGCATTCTTTTCAGTGGTTCAGCACCTACCCTTATTCCTTTCTGAGAGCACCGGCTCTCAACTTCGCCCAAGCTGGCTACCACTGTGGTGACAGGGTGCATTCAGAGCTCCACACAGGGTGCCAGCATTGCCATAAGGGACCCAAATGAGGGTAAGGGGACACTTTTCAGTACCAAATCCCTCTCCTCTAGGCACAGGTGTGGCATTTACACATGCGCACACGGTGCTCTTTGGGCCCAGGTGTCCATAATCACAGGCGCACGTCCCGTGCCCACGCCCCTCGTCGTGGGCACCCATGTTAGCTGTGGGAGGACAAAAAGCCCCCATTAACTTCATCTGCCGAGCTGTGAGGGAACACTCATGCCCCGGCCCTGCCTCTGAGCAGTCACCATGTCCATTTCCCACCCTCCCCACTGTGCACAGAGTCCCACTTCCGGGGAGGCACCCACAGAGGCCAGTGATCGAGCCCTACATGCTCGTGGCCCACCTCCCCTCAGTCCCTCCTCAGGTCTTCAGAGGACCCCATACTCGCTTGCGTCGAACCATCCTGCCAATTGTGCCAGCACAAGGCAGGCTCACTGCTGGCTCAGGTGGACATGGATAGAGTCCCTGAGCCCTCAGTGGATTTTACAGCCCTTAATGCTCTCAGGGAACCAGGCACCTGGGCATGCCAGGTAGGGATGCTGGCAACAAGGAGGCAGGCATGGGCTGGGCAGGTGGTGTGCTGGGAGGCAGGCAACTGAGCCTCCTAGTCCCCCAAGAATCTTTGTGCTTTCTCTGGCCTCTCTTTGGCGTTCTGTTTCGTGTCGTGTCATGGTCTTACCTCAGAGTGGTCTTCCTCACTGTCCTGCCACCACCGGCTTTATCCTTCACCCCCTGGCACAGGTGTCTGTCCCTGTTTACATATACGCATGCCCCGTGCTCTCTGGGCCCAGGTGTCTATAATTACAGATGCACGTGCAAGACTGCAGATGCCGGTCATAGATGCTATGGCGGGAGAGCATAAAAGGCCTGATTTTTGACTCACTCACTCTACATACCCCAATCCCCTCCAGACCCCTCCACGCGTCCCTTCTGCATGGCAGCATGGGAATCTGGTGCTTAGAAACTTGGAGCCCAGCTACTGAAAAAGCATGAAGAGTTGCTGACTTTTGGGAAGGGTCTATGTGAGCTACTTCCAAATTTTTAGGCTCACAGCTATGGATTGGGGGCAGAAGGGCAGTGCCCCTTTTGCAGGTGGAGAGACTGAGAACAGAAGCACGTGACTTGGGACTAGGAACCAGACCCCCGCTCCCACCACCCCGAGAAGGCTTGTATGCCAGTTGGACCTCCCTTCCAGAACTCAATCGTGTGATTTCTTGAAAAAGGTGCCGCCACAGGACTTTATGCCTAACTCTGAGTTTTCCCACCCTGGGATGGACAGAGGTGCCTGTGCAAATGCTTCTCGTGGAGAGAGATGAGCTGACAGACACCCAAGCAGGGAGGGTCCTTACTGACTGACTCACTGGATGGGAACAGGCAGGGGCGGTGGCAGGCTGAGGCCCTCTCCTTCACCCCACACCTCCAGCTGATGCACCTCTCCTCAAACCATTGCAGTGTCTGGGGAGCCACGGGAGCAGCAGCAGAGAATGAAATTTGGGGTTTGGAAGGACATATCACATATGAGCTAAGGGTCTTGGATGAGTCACTCAGCTGTCGTGTGAATACAGGGGTGATGTAGACCAGCCAGGAGTCTCCACCCCCAGTGAGGGGGAGCTGAGCAGTCGGCGCCCCATTTGGTCTGTCATCACTACTCTGGGTAGGTTCCATGACTGGACTGGACTGAGCAGTGGCCGTTCACCAAGCCCAAGGAGGGGGAAGATTTCAAAAGACTCATTCAAAGCTAGAAAAGGCAAGGGAGGGAGGGGCATCTCAGAGAGGGCGTGCCAGGCTGAAGCAGCGAGCTGAGCAGGGTGTGTGGCGGTGAGAGAGGGAGCACAGAGTGCCGGCGGGAGCCAGACCTGGAGTCCTTGGCACTTCGTCAGGGGCCGGTGCTGGGATATGAGGTAACGGAAGCCACACGTGCTCTGGTTGGCCGGCGCCCTAGCCAGGTGCCTGCGTTCACTCAACACCTTGCTGCTGTAAGGTGGGGAGAAGAGTCAGGCATAGGAAGTAAGGCTTGAGAAAACTGGAGAAGAAACTGAAGACGAGAAAGGAGACTGTGGACAGGGATGGAGGGAAAGGGACCATTGTTAAAGCAGAGGGACAAGGGAGCAAGCCAAGCAGACAGACCAGGCGAAGTGTCAGAGGAGGGAATGTAGGGGAGAGCAACGCAGGGGGTCAACAAGCAGATGCTCAAATCCCCAGAATGATGGCAGAAGTGGGGAAAGAACGGGGGGAGCCGAGTCGTGACGAGACACTCCTGGCAGCAGGCTGCACACGAGGCAGTCTCCTGGCCGACGCCTGCTCAGAGGCACTGAGGTAGTGGGCATGGGCCATGAGGCAGGAGAGCAGAGGGGAGCTGAGCAGTTGGCGTCACATCTAGTCTGTCACCATAACCCTAGATCGGTCCTGAGCCCACGTGCCCCCTACCCTGTTCATTTCTCAAGGGTGTCACAAAGCTCAGGGCACAGGTGGAGGATAACTGAACATGACGATCAGTGACAAGGCAGCAACAGACACACCAGACCGCAACATGGACTGTAGAGTGGGGAGACCACCACCGCCACTGTCAGGACACTGCAGGACCTAGTTCCGCTATGGGCCTTGGTGGGTTTTTCCTGCAGGACCCACTTGGGGACTGCCCTGGGATATTACCATAGTTGCCAAGCACAAGCCAGGAGCAGGCAGCAGTGCCCCAGCCACAACACGTGAATGTTCTTCTCTGGACACCTAAATGGGGTCAGCAGAGAGCTCATGTGCCATCTGAGGGCCAGGCCACTCCCGAGATTCCAGCTGTCCCACTCCTTGGGAGTTCAGGACCTGGGCTTTGAGGTGCCAGACAAACCATGTAATCCCCAACTTGTAAGATCTGCAAGTCCTCCACCTGCAGGGCTGGCGAGGCACCAAGCAGATCGGGGTGGGTGTGACGGCACCCCAAGGTGCCCAGGAGTCCCCAGCTCCAGGTACTGCCCAGAGCAAGATGCAGGTGCCCAAATCCCCTCACACCCAGGCACAGAGACTTGTTTAATAACAACCCAAACCAGGGAAAGAAAACACTGAGGGGGAAAAAGACGGCCTCGGGCGACCTTTGTTCCCAGCAGTGGGGGGCGCGTGAAAACCAGTCAGTCGATGGGGCACCACAGGCTTTATTGGCTGCTATTCTCCTAGGAGCCTGGTCTGCTGGGACTGGATGCTCCGGCATGCACACCCCCGGGCCTAAGCTGGGAAGAAGGGAGAGAGAGGTTTAGGTCCAAAGTAAGGTTTCTGAAGTAATGCCTGACGGCATTAGAGGTGAAGCTGTTATTCTGAAACCACTCTTGAAGGCAAAGTGTCTGACGTGGAACATTTACAGATCCAACAACAATAAGACTGTATGTCTGCACCTGCTCAGGAAACACCCATCCATAGATGCCTCCCCTGTCCAAGGCACCCTTTGCTGGATTTCTCACTCGTAAAAACTACGTATGAATTCAGCTCGAGCACCCCACTGAAAGCAGGCCTTCAGCACAGCTGTGGGAAGGGCATGTGGCTGGTTTCACCTCCAACCTCGCTTTTCCAAAGAAGTCATTTCTGATCCCACCCCCATGAGTACCCCCCATGCTTTCCTTTCTGAAACTTAAGGGGCATTACCTCCAGGTTTCCTCTGGCCTTGCGAAGGATTTTGTGGGTCACGACCACTGAGGAAAGAGTGAAGAATACGCTGATTAGTTAGATGCCCAGAAAGATGGGGTATAGCCAAGTGCAGGGAGGAGGAACCCCCTGAGCCACAAAAGGTTAAACATGTGAACAGCCTTGAAGAATCTGGATCAGAGGGATGCAGGAGGCCCAACTGGCCCAGGATCAGAGGGTCTACTGGAGAGGGAGAAGGGCCACCTCCTCTGCTCTGGGCTGCACCTGATGGCCACACCAGAAGGTATAACGGGCTGCCCCACGTTACAACCAAGGCCTGCAAGACCAGCGATGCCAAGGCATGCCAAGGACCCACAGCTCCGGGCTGGGAGCTTGTGGGGCAGGCAGAAGGGAGTCTGGGCCAACAAATGCCGCAGACTGGCTTATCCCAGGCCCCAGAGAAGTGGCCCTGGGAAGAGGTGCACCCACTCCAAGGAAAATCACGCATGAAGGCCGGAGTCCAGGGCGGGGCAATTCTTACAGCAGCTCCTAATACCTCAGGAGAAGTGCCGGGCATTTTTTCCCCTTTGCTGCCTTTTAGCTGATGGAAGAACCCAATGTGGCTCTCTGGGCAAGCCCTGGTCCACCAAGACAGGAGGTGACTGGGGTGCACCTGAGGCCCCTGCCAATCTGACACCCTGACCTGGGCAGGGTCTGATAGCCGGGAGCTCTCAGTGTAAAGGAAGGTCGCTTCGTCCCTCGACCTTTTCCTCTCTGACTTAGACTCCTGGAAGAGTGGGCCTTTGACAGGCCCCATCAACACACACAGCCCAACTTCTCCAAAGGCTCATTCAGAATAGGGGTCAGGTGGTGACCTTGGGAAGATGCTGATCTCTTGCCTCATAAAAGTTCCTACATGGAGGTAAGGAAGATTCCCCATTACCTGTCTGAGGGACTGCCAGACCCCAAAGTGGCCCCTCCTACATTCCTGGCCCCTCGACACTACTCAGCCAGGGAGACCTTCTAACACACAATGGACATGTACCTCCCTGCTGCCCACTCTTGCCCTTGTGACCCGTCTGTATGTCCCTCTCACTTTTCCTCTCACAGCACATCCTAACTTATCCTGAACGCTCAGTTTTTGCTCCCAAGGCTACCTGCAGAACCCGATCCTGCCCGTCCTTGCAGATCTAGTCAGTCCAGAGCCTGAACAACCTCCTGAACAGGAGCATCATCCTGCAGCTAATAGTTGCACTTTCCCCATTAGGCTGAAATTCCTACTGGCAGGAACCAGATTGTTGACCTCTGTCATATAAGCCTGGCAGAGGGGACAGGGGGACGGGCCAGGAGCCCTGGGCTTGCTCAGACACTGAGCAACTCTCCTTCATAGTTCAAGCCCCACCAGTCCCAAAGAGTCTGTTTTCAGAAGGTTCCCATGGAGACTGAGAAGAACTACTTGACAATAATCTTTGTTCTGTGTGTTTCAGAAATGCCCCAGAAATGTTGGGCTTTGATAAGAGAACACCACAAGGCAGGCAGGCCCCTCCAGAGTGGAAAGCACTGCCATTAGCACTTCTCCTAAGATAGGGAAGCTGACAGGCGCACAGCGCAAGGCCTGGCTGGCCTGTGCTGCCAAGAGGCCCTGGGAGGTGAGACGGCCCAGCACGCAGGGGTGAGTGTTGAGAACTTGAGCTGGGAGTAGAGCTCTCTCCATGCTCATCCATGCTCCGGACTCAGGGAGGGATTAATCTTACAGAAGTTTCTCAATCTCTCCAACCTAGAGTTTCTCAATTTTTCTTGAGAAGCATTTCTCAGATCCATCCCTGACTCAAGATCCTCATCGCCTGGCCAAGGCCCTCCTCCTGGCCTGCCTGGATCAGGAACTCTGCCCCTCATCGCTGGTGGAGCAACCACAAGTGGCTGCTTGCAACGCAGCCCTTGTCCTACCACCTGCAGCCTGCATGGACTCCAGGCATGAGAATTGCGGGGATTCCTCATACACAGAACCTGCTCTCTTGCTCTCGGCCTTTGTCCATGCACTGCCCACCCACCTGACCATCGACACTCCTCATTGCAGACTCAGTCCAGGTGACTTTGTCCAAGGAGCCCTCTGCCAAGACAGGGTGACATCATCCCCACCCACAGTGCTTTGAGACCCCACACACATTCCCATCATGCCCCACAAGATGACAGCCCCTGGCACAGAGTGGCCCCGTCACTAAGGTTTGTTATGTGTCTGTTCATGTGTCTGTGTGGGTCAGAAAGGATTAAGTATGGAAGGAAACCCAGAAATTAGGGGGCAAACAAGACAATGGCCTGGGTGCTGAGGTGAGTTGGCCAGGGTTGGGGGTTCAGTCTCAGAGGCAGCCGCCACTAGCTACTCACACTGATCAAAGATGACTTTTTCCTGGTGCTTGCTCAGATGCAAGAGCCTCACAGTGTTTTGCAATTTCTTTTCCTGTTCAAACAATTTTTTGTGTAGTTTGGTGATCTCTGCCTTCATTTCTCCAGTCTAAAGAGGAAAGGAATTAGAACAATGAACAAAGAATATACAAGGTCCTATCACACAGGAAGAATTACAAAAACTCATTAAAAGATGCTCGATCTTACTAACAAAGGTATTTGAGTGAAAACCAGAAGCCATTTTCTGCAACAAGACCAGCAGTCCTAGCAAGGTCCAAGGATGTGAGGCATGGGGACCGTGTAGCAGCGCCCACGTGCACACCCCGCACTGCTGAACCAGCCAACAGCACTTCCCCTGCAGCCCCACAGTCCACTCGCAGCCTTAGTCCTGAGAAGACACCTGTGTTCACAGCTGCTCGTCTCGGCATTGTTTATTGCAAGAAAAAATAAACAACCTGATGCATTTCAATAGGGCTTGATAAACCAGGACACTTAGATCCATGGGATAATTTTGCAGCAAGTAAAACTGATGCAGAACTTTATTCAACGACATGGAGAGGTGATGGTGACTCGTGGCAAGGAGAGCCCGGGTATCAGGCGTTCCTGTGCCATTACGTGGAAGAGGCACATCTGCAGCCACAGACGTGGCCAAGAAGATGTGACAAGATGGCATCAAAATGGTAACAGTGACTACCTCTGAGAAATGTGATTTGGAAGGTTTTATATTTCATTTTAAAAAATTTACCAAAATTGCGATTATTTTACAAAGTGACAATGCTGACTTTTTAAAAAATCAATGCTTAAATCTTAAAAAGAGAATCTGGAAGTTTTTTAGGAGAGTGTATTTTGATTTTTCAGAGCTGAGAAGAGAGTGGATGGGTGGCAAAATCAGAGAGCCCCCGGTCCCTCCCACCCCCCACCGCCAAATATGCACACCCTGGTTAGCAGCCTCCGTGAAGGAGTTCACAGGGCACAGGACACTTCTTGGTTTATAAAATCCTGGCCTGGAAGATGCCCTGAGTGGCTGCTCTCTGCTGGTGGGTGATGCTGCGCTGTCAGTGAAGTCTTAGGAAGAGTCACCTTTAGTGTTGTTTCCAAACTTGTTTATGGCGGTTGTACTTCTAGTTAGTTACAAAATTCAATTAAGTGTTAAGCAAACCCAGGAAATATATGTCTGGAAAGAGAGAACTGGTTATATGGAAACTAACATGTGCTTCGGGAAAGACCTGACAAAGGCAAATCACTATAAAACACATTTCTGGCAAATTAGGTGTGGGTGAATCAACTATAAAAGATGTGGGAGGAACAGAGTCTAGAAGAACTCTATATTCAAATTGCTTTGCAGTGTCTAAGTTTTTTCTTCATCTTAAAGAAACAGAAATTGTAAGTGACAGATATACATTATGGATGTCGTTTAGGAAAAAAAGAAAGAAGACGTGGAGCCCCATCAGCAGACCCTTATTCAAGAACAGGCTCTGGCCCCACATCAAAGGATGGCAAATGAATGTACATTTAACAGCTTGGAGTTAAACTGTTTAAGAAATGAATCATTTTTTGATTTTTTTTAACCTACTTATGAGATTAACCAGCCCTGTCACCTACAAGGATTTCTACTATTCTTCCAAAACAGATCCTAATTTAAACATGAGGTTTCCTTTGACTCTGCCTTGTAGTAAGAGCCCACAAAACACAAGTTCTGGTCCTGGCTTCACAGGCCACACGTCCCAAGACACAGTCACACTACACCCAGAGCCTTAGCTCCGTAACTGTAAGCAGGGCTGACCCCTGTACTACCAGGACTCTGCAGGGGGGAGTCCAGAGATGTGCCCAAGGACAGGGAGAGTGACGACTGCTCCCCTGCCCCAAGCTTGCCCTGAGACCCCTTCTCCACCAGGAGGCCAGTGGCTACAGCTCCCTTGGGTGCCACTGCTTCCCTATCCTTGCCCCTTTCATGCTGGCTGGTGCCTGACAGGGACGCGTCTGCTTCCCTGCCAGACCACAAGCTCCCTGAAGGCAGCCTCCATTCTTCCCTCTGCCCACCAGCACATGGCAGAGTGGGCGCGTGAGACCATCTGCCAACTAACTGGAGTCAGCAGTCTCCAAACACTGCGTACATATTCTACCCAGCACTTAAAACAAGGGATTTTAATTATTTATGTATCTACTGTTTTTCTGGACTAAAATCTTCATGCTAACAGGATGAATAAACACCATGGTGAAAAGGTCACTCAGTCACTTCCTAGCTAGTGTTGCTTTGGAGTAAGGGTGTTTCTGTTCCTACTTTGGGAAAATGGGAATATGAACAACAAACTCCCTAAGCGATGAAATGAGATGCTGAATGTGTAAGAGAATGCCTAACACACAACAGGATCTCAATAGAGTGACTCTGACCAGAGTCACAGAGGTGAGCACAGAGTTCACGTGAAGCTACTCCCCTCCAAAGAGACCAAGAACATCCCGCCTGATGTCTGGAGCTGGGTTTTGTTGTTTTCTTTTTCATAATGAAAAATCTCAAACATACACAAAGTATAAGGAATAGGGTGATAAGCAGATAAGACACACACACACACACACTCTGCAGACCAATATCCCTGATGAACACAGATGCTAAAATCCTCAACAAAATCCTAGCAAACCAAATTCAACAACACATTTAAAGAACTATGCAACGTGATCAAGTGGGATTTATTCCAGGGATGTAAGAATGCTTAACATACGCAATTCAATCGATGTGATTTCATCACATCAACAGAAGCCAAAAATCATATGATCATATCAATAGATGCAGAGAAGGCATTTGACAAGCTATGGCATCCATTCAGGATAAAAACACTCAGTAAAAAGGGATAGAAGGAACATCTCTCAACATAATGAAGGCCACATATAACCCAAACCCATAGATAGCACCATACTCAATGGTGAGAATCTGAAAGCTTTTCCTCTAAATTAGGTACAAGAAAAGGATGTCTACTCTCACCACTACTCTTCAACACAGTACTGGAAGTCTTAGCTAGACCAACTGGGCAAGAGAAAGATATAGAGAATCCACAGCACATGCAGGAAAATTAAATGAGACCACTCTCTCACATACCACACAAAAATTCAAAATGGATTGAAGACTGGGATGCAAGACCTGAAACCATTAAATGCACTGAAGGAAACAGGCAAATCACTCCATTAACACTGGTTTCTGTGATGTCTTTGTCTCTAAAGTCAAGAAAATCAAAACAGAATATAAACAAACATGACTACATCAAACTAAAATGCTCTCTACAGTGAAAGAAACTATCATTCACACAAAGATACCCTACTGACATTCTTTGAATGGGAGAAAGTGTTGGCACATCATACATCTGAAAAAGGGCTAATATCCAAGATCTACAAAGAACACATACAATTCAACAACAAAATAACCCAACCAAAACAATGAGCAGAAGAGCTAAATAGACACTTCTCCAAAGAAGACAATGGCCCACAGGCACATGAAAGCAAGTTTACCATCACTTACCATCAGGGGAATGCTAATCAAAATCACAATGAAATAAAAACCATCTCACCTGAGTGAGAATGGCCCATATCAAACAAACAGAAATAACAAGTATCTGCAAGGGTGTGGAGAAAAAGAAACCATCGAACACTGTTGGTGGGACTATAGACCTACCCAGCTGCTATGGAAAACGGCCTGCAGATTCCTCAAAATATTAGGAATAGGTATGTGATCCAGCAATTCTACTCCTAGGTATCTAGCTGGAGAATACAAAACTACTAGGTTGAAGGCATTTATGGGATACTACTCAGCTATAAAGAAGTTGAACTCTTGCCATTTGTGACAACATGTATGGAACTGAAGGGGACTACGCTAAGTGAAATAATTCAGAGGGACAAATACCAAATGATTTCACTTATAGGTGGACTATAGAGGAAAAAAAAAGAAAGAAACCGACAAAACTAAACCAAAACAAATCTTAGAAATATGACTGCAGAACAGAGGCTACTAAAGGAGGGTAGAGGGTGGGTGTGGGAACAAAGTCGGAAGGAGAACAAATGGTTTGATGAAAGAAGATGGGTGCTTTGGTGGCGGATGTGGCGTGTGACATACATCTGAGTCACAGACAGTGTTGTAGACCGATGTTACATCAATTAAAAAAAAATGTTTTTGTTGGGTCTCATCAGCTCTTTGTAGATTTTTGTGATCAGTCCTTTATCGTTAGTGTTGTGTGCAAAAATGTTCTCCCAGTTGGTGGGGTTTCTCTTTGTTTTTGTTATTGTCTCTTTTGCTGTGCAGAAGCTCTTTAATTTGATGTAGTCCCAGCTGTTGATCTTTGCCTTCACTATCACTGCTTTGGGTGATGTGTCTGTAAAGATGTCTTTGATGTGCATATCACGTTGTGTTTCACCTATATTTCCTTCTATGTATTTCATGGTTTCAGGTCTTACCCAAAGGACATAGAAACATCAATTCCAAAGAGCACCTGCACCCCTATGTTTATAGAAGCACTATTTACAATAGCTAAGCTTTGGAAACAACCCAAATGCCCAAAAATAGATGACTGGATCAAGAAGATGTGGTACATATATACCATGGAATATTACTCAGCATTCAAAAAAGATAAACACATGCAATTTGTAGCAACATGGATGGAGCTGGAAGGGATCATGCTCAGCAAAATAAGCCAGAAAGAAAAAGAAAAATACTGGATGGTCTCACTCATAGCAGGAATCTAGAAAACTTAAATAAGGGACCAGGAGAAAGCATAACTATAAGAAAGAAAATATCAAAATCAACAAACAACTATGAACCAGAGTCACTCTATGGGGAGTGGGGGGTGGGGAAAGAAGGGGATTGGGGTCAGAATAAGGGGGTTGTAATTGTATGGGGAATATGAAAAATAAAATTTAAATAAAATGTGAAAAAAATAAAATAAACTATTAAACCTGAAAAAAAAAATGGATAAAGAACTGCCAGGTATCCATCCAGTTTCAGCAATGACCAAATCAAGGCCAAACTTGTTTTACCTACACCCCTGCCCATCCTGACCCTGATATTATTTTAAACCCAATCCTAGACATCAATCATTTCATCCATAAAATAGCTCAGCTTTTTTCTTCAGAAGAAAAGGATTCTTAAAAGATCCATAATACCATTGTGATACCTAAAACAATGACAACAGTTCCTTGGTATCACCAAATATGTTTGTCCATAGACAAATTTTCCTGATTATAACCCTAATTTTATTTTTTTAACAAATGGTATATTAATTTAGCATTCAAATAAACACCACATCTTACATTCAACTGACAAGTATTTTCAGTTTCTTTTAATCCAGTGATTCTTAAAGCTACCTAGAGAGCTTATAAAAATCAGGCTGCTGGGGCCCACTCCAGACTTTCTGATTCAGGTCTCAAGACCCCAAAATTTCCATTTCCAATGCTTTTTCAGATGATCCTGTTGAAGCTGATCCAGGAACCATAGAGTGAGAACTACCATAAACATACGGGTTTCACTTCCTTGTTTCCTCTATTTTCCTAGAATGAAAAGATGTTCTAAGTTCATAGTGTACATTTCCTGCTCTGGGCCTAGATTCAAGCAATGTCTGCAAGGAGTCCTAGTTCCTTTCAGTGGGAAAGGCATTGAGAAACCACAATTTGGTAGTGGAGGTGCTCATTTTTCAAACCTTTCAGTAGGTACATCATGAGTTCACACCAATACTCCCCAAGTCAAATGTAGGATTACAAAATTTTCACTTCTTTGAATAGAGGCAATGTTTGTTCACATGCATGAGTTCACCAGAGCCAGATACAGAGCAGGCCCAAGTCACTGCTGAAGCAGCGGGCGGCAGGAGAGGTCTGTGCGCCATGGGGACCCTCCTAGCAAATCGATGCGGGCAGCTTTCTACTTCTTTGATTTTTTAATTTATATATCTCTTCTCTTATAGTAAAAATCTCAATGTTAGTTGTTTTATCCCACAATGGAAATATGAGTCAAAAATCAATACTAACATTATTACTAACAATATAATCACTGACAGCAGTTTATTTACATTTTTTGCAGTTCTGTTTGCCCGCAGGTATTTCCACCAGTAATGTGTTCAGTCACATCACTGTTGTGTTAGTCTTGAAGTGTTTCTTCTTCCTGTGGTTTTTTCTTCCAAAATTATATGAAGTAAAATTTGGTTATTTAATCTTGTTGCGAATTTTTAGAAATTCCTCCTTTCCCATTTTGACGTATTTTTATTTATAATTATGTAAAGCATTTAAACAGTGTAAGACAAATCTACAAAACAAGTTCTATTCAGAGAAATCTGAATAGATTTCTGAATAGGCTTGCATCCCTGCCTTTCCAGTCTTTTCCCTCTCCCCCAATAAATAGACTGTTTTATTGTTATTGTTTATCTTTCCATTAATTTTTTTTTTTTTTGGTGGGACCCTCGCTGGTGGTCGGGGAATGAACCGGCACTGCAGAGGCTGCGGGCAGCCTCGCAGCCCAGTGCTCAACTGCTGCGCCACCAGGGGAGGCCCTCCATTAAAAATTTTTAATAAGCAAATATGGGTAAATATTTGTGTCCCTCCCAGAAATTTTATTAAACTGATGTATATGATATATACTTTCCAGAGTAGTGTTGGAAAGATACAGATGATGTATAAATGTAAAAGGCAAATTAGTAACACTCAGAGAAAACACCAGGTAGTAAAAAACCATTGGGGATTACTGGTGAAAACTTGGACATCTGCTTTACACACATTTCACACCAAGAAAAAGGCACTATCTGAAACACAGGCAGGGACAGAAATGTGGCTGGAGGCAATTTCACACCACACAGGGGTCTTATGTACACTCGCAACCACACAGGGGCATTTCTAAGGCTCTTTTTCTGACTCTAAAATTCTGTGATGCTAGAGTGAGCATAACCAATTATCCGAGAAACCCTGGGAAGGAAGGCGCCAATCAGGAGCACTGACCGGTCCCTAGATTCATTTGAAAGTGGGGAAGATCAATGTGACTATAACTTCCATTTACACACACACACACACACACACACAACCGAAATAACTGAATTCCATCCAGTACAGATACACTATGTACTGAAGATAAAAACATTACATCGAGGCTGAATTGATTAATTCAGACACGCTGTACTTTAAAATCATAGGGACAAGTTACTGGTTTGGGAGTATGAAAAATTATTCATTCACTCATTCAAAAATATGACCAAAATGGACATGGCCCCTCGCCCCTCATGGAAAGTACAGGAGACAGACATTAAACAAATATATAATTATAATCTATCATGAAACAGAAGAGGATGCTGTGACTGATCAGGGTGCCCTCTCTGACCTTCGAGAACATTTAAGCTACAACCTGGAAGGTGAGAAGGAGGGAACTCCGTCCTCTGCTCACCAGAGTGGGTACTCACCTTGTCATTAGACATGCCCCCTCCCCCCAAAACCTACCTGGGGACTGCTTCTGCTCCGTCTGACTGCTGACTGGGAGCCTGTCATTTCTAAGTAGTTAAAATAGATTTTAAAGCAGGCCCACTAAAATAGGATGCTGAAAGTTAGAAAAAGAATCAGAAAGTCCAGAGAAAGGCATCTAAGACAAAAGAGATTGTGAGTAGAAAGGAATGAACTGGTCATGAGTACAATTGGGACTTTGGGTTCAAATACTTGTGCTTTCAAACCAGTTCTGCCCGTCAGCATGACCCTCCCTTCCCTGCACCTCGGTTTCCTCACGAGTCAAACGCTGACAGGATTTCTCTCAACAAAGATGTGCCAGGAGGGGGGACACAGTCATGGCCTCCAGGCCAAGCTCAGAGGGGCACAAGGATGGGTTAGAACACGTGTGAAGCAGAGTCAGAGGAGGTGAAGACACAGCAGCAGCCCTGAGCTCAGGGTCCAGGAGCCAGGCCCTACCTGTTCACAGTGATGTGTGCACTGGCCATCGGTGGGGAGGGAGGCCCTCCAGAGCAGCGTTAGTAACCTCGCAGCCTCGTCCAGGATCAGCTTGACTGTGCGCACGCTGGTGACCAGCCTGCTCAGGGGCGCCAAGCGTGGGCCCTGTACCAGGGGATGAGAAGGTTGTTACAGGCAGTCTTGAAGATTACAGACAAGCCAGCTTTACCGGGCAGCATAAATCTCTGCTCTGTGGGGTTTGAATTCCACATGCTGAGCAAGAGCCTGGTGCCAGAAGACACCAATTTATTTTTCTTAAAGACTGGTGAATTAGATTATGAGAGCATTTCAGTGGTGATTTTAGCCCAATCAATAACCATGATTAATAACCACCTGCATTAGCCATCGTAACCACACCAAGAAGAGGGTCCATGGTGGGCCCACTCATACTGTACCACAACCCAGAGCCCCTCTGGGAGGCAACCCACAGCCAGTGAGTCATGTGAGTGGTGTGGGCATCAGCATGCCCCCCCATAGCAGCTCTGCTTATGGCCAGGACAGGGCCATATAAAGTCTCTCTCACCCTCTCTCAGAACCTTACTGAGGGTGTAGGCACACCCCTCACCTGCCAGTAGCCTTGACTGATCCTTTCCTCTACTGCTCCCAGGGTGCATCTCTCTCCCCCAGGCTCTGTTGTTCTGCTTACCTTTGTTTCCAGCTCTCGACTGGTAGGGCTGGGAGCCTCTTGGAACTGAGTGTCCATCTCAGCAAGGAGCCTCTGGCCCTGGCCGATCTGCTTGCACAGGGCATCATAGTCCTCAATAAGGCCCAGGATGTGGTGGCCACTCGTGCTGGCCCACAGGTGGTGGGCAGGAACCATGTGGGACTTGCTTTGGGTGCCAACAGCTGAGCTGCCACTGTCACAGGAGAGGGAGTCCATGTCATCTGCAGAGAGCTGAGGAGACTTGGAAGCTGCAGAATAAGAGGGGAGAAGGCCGATCTCTATGGGCAGCACCCTGAGTTCGGCAGGCTTTCAATGCTGAAGTCGAGCAGGAGAGCTAAGAGCAGCCCTCCGGCAAGCCACCTGATGAGGCCTGGAGGGCAGAGGCCTGGCTCCCGGCCCTCAGTCTGCCTACTAGCCCATGCTGAGCTCATGCTTCTTGTGGGAGGAGCTCACTGAATTCAACCAATACTTATCAGTCACCACCTTGCAGAAAACCCCCGATTCACAGGTGAATCAAACTGGGATTCCAGGAGCCCCGGGTCTACGTGGAATCAAGACCCTACGTGGGAGACATAACGACACAAGAGGAAGAGCAGCTCAGAGGAAGACAAGACTCTGTGCAGGAGCGAGACAGGGAAGGCTTCCTAGAAGAAGCAACAGCTGAGCTAGGCTGAACAGGCAACAAGAATTACTCTAAAGAGAGGGAAAAACCCGCTGCTTCTACCCTAGGATCAACACACGTCTGGAAACATGAGGAAAATTAAGTCACAGAGAAGTCTGCGTTCATAAAGAGTTTTGAGGAAGCAGGGTTTTCCCTGGCAAAGATGGAGACAAAGAAGGTTTGGTAACAAGAGGTGCCTTACTGCAAGGTCCCAGTGAGAGGCAGGGTAGACCTGTCTGCAGGCGGTGGCCCATCTGGATGGCAACATGCAAGCAAAGGCTCAGACTAGCCACCGGGCAAGATGCTGGAGGGCCTGAAAGCCATGCTGCGGTGGTCACATCACGCTAGGGCAGCGGAGACCCAAGAGGCTGCTGAGGTTGGTGACACCTGGGAAGGACTCAGCGGGCTTGGGGGCGGGGGGTGTGGGGAGGCTCACCAGCTAGAGATGCTGAGAATCTGAAACCCCAAAACCTGCTAAACACCCTCGTGAGTTGGGACCAAGGACCCCTTTTCTTTATTTAAAAAGTCGTCCTGCCGAACCCAAGCCTGCTATGGTTACCCAGAAATCAATTTATACCTGATCTTGGTGGCATTGCCAGGGTGGAGTCGAACAGATCATAGGAACTACCGACTGCCATAGGACAGCTGTCACTATCTACAAAATGCAAAATAAGGGAAGGAAATAAACCGTCACAAGTTTTGGTTTCACTGTCATCAGTGTTTGACAGAGAAAAGTGAATGAGAATAACAAAGTGTCCGATACACACTAGGACCTCTTCAGCTCTTCCCTGAGCACCGCCTGCTAGGCCATGTGTGGAACACGGGGACATGGGATAAGCAGCTCAATCCCCTCCTTGGAAGGACCTTCGGGTCTAGACAAACAAACAGGCAGTTTCACCTCAAGGTGGTCGGGGCTGAGGAAGGCGAACACAGGGCTGTGGGAGCTCAGGGGTGCTGGCAACCCCGAGGCGGGAGGAGCAGAGGCAAGGGCACAGACACATAAGCTGCCGTGACCCACGCAGGGAGAATTAAACAACTCATATGGCTGAGCCCTGGGTCCAGGGCAGGAGGTGGCGGGGTGCAGAGCAGAACTGTGAGGGCTGTGGGGACACACTGCAGGGCAGGGCAATGTTGAGCTGGAATCTGTTTTGGGCTGCGGGGTGAGTGGGTGAAGACCATTGCTTAACCCACATGAGAAAAACGACCCAACGTAGGGCTTGAGAACTTGAAATAATATTAGGAGGCCAAACCAGGGCGATGTTGTGCAAGCTGATCTGCATGATTTATCATTCAGAAAGCACATTCGCACCTGAACTCCCAGGAGCTCAGTGGACAGGAGGGCAGCATAGTTCAGACCTCATGGAAGAGGAGACCAGGGCAGAGACAGGAAGTGATCTGCCTAGAGCCGCACCGTCCCCCCCGCCCCCACGCCCCCGGGAGTGGAGGGCAGAGTGAGGACTGTGTCCAGGCCTTGGGATACCCTCCTGGCTCCTTTCCACCAGGCACCTCCAAGGGTGCAGAGCGATTCCAGATGCCAAGGAGTCAGGGCATCAACTCCGTGGAGTTGGCCCCTGAGAGGGATCGCTTTCTGCTAAAGATAGCAGCCTTAAGAGCAGAGCACAGGAGCACTTAAACACAGTCCTGAGAAGTTGTTTGCAAAGGAAGAAATGCTGCGGCCACCTACGATATATTCAAATCAAAGCAGTGGAAGACTTTCTGAGGAGGCAGCACTGTGGATTCTGAACACGCACTTTCCTGGATGCCTCTGGCGAGGCTCGCCCAGGTTTGATCCTGGACAAATTTCACAAGCAGGAAAAGGCTGGTAATGGCCCCCTCGTTTCAGTTGCCAACTTCCCTTCTTGCACATCCCAAGCACTGAACCATTCTGCCTGCTTCAGTCTCCCCCTCACCCCAATTTCCTTGGTCCTATCTCAAAGCACCAAAAAGGGCCAGGAGCAGATCGACAGTTAAAACAGCAGTGTCCATCACGGACTCACATCCCAGGCAGAAGGCATCCAGCTCTCTGGTGGCTGTATATTACTTTGTAGTAAATCTACAAAGGTTTTCCTCCTTTTTTAAATACAAATTCAGCTTTTTGGTTAAAATTTTTAAATCCTTATCAAGGAGAAACCTATGACCAAGCACTACAAGTTCTAAGGCAGGTTGACAGGGGCCCTGTAACAGACTTTCATTTCTGAAAATTAAAGGCAATGGACCTAACTCCCAATCCAAGTAAAGATAAGTCTAAACTTTTGTATGAGACATTTATAAGGTACGTCGGCATTCCCCATCCCCACTGGATGTTTGTGTCCACTCTGCGGGCTTTAGGATGATGTCCCCCAGATTCAGTCTTGAGAAAGTCAGGTGGTGGCTAGGAACAGAACTGAACTCAGAGCTAGGAGGTGGTTTCTAGCTCCAGCTCCGCCTCCGACTTGCTATGTCACTTAGGGCAAGTCTAGTTCTTTCTGGACCTTAGTTCCTTCGTCCACAGAGCAGCAAGGATGGCCTGGTGGAGTGCTTTAACTATTTGCAGGTTTGTTCCCAGTCCTGTGCTGGGCAGCCAGCAGAGAAGTGGCTGAGCGAGCCCAATCTTGCCCCCTCCCAGCTCACAGGGCCTTCCCAGCTCATAGGCCTTTATAGGCCAGGCAATAAACCCACCAGCAAATGCAAAGCAGAACCACTTCATAAACTACCAGCAAGCTTTCTAGATCCCAAAAGGCAGTGACAGTCACAGGAAGAGGGTTGGGCTGCTCTCTTTTAAAGACAGTAACAGAGAGTGAAAGGGATTTTCAGCAGTGGAGTCACAACGTGGGAAGAACTAGATGGATGGGAGGAAGCAAGACCCAAGGCAAAGGGGGCAGCTGGAAGCCGGAGCATTCTTCCCTGAGAATCACAAGGCCCCAGACAGAGACAACATCTTTTTGCCAAAGGTGACAGCTAATTAGTGGTCAGGTCCCCTGGCTTCCAGAGCAGAGCATGTCTGCTGTCAGTGGGAAGACACCTCTGTGGGGCAAGGGCACCGTTCAGGAGCCCACATGTCCCACAGGCAGCACTTCACAGTGGGCAGAGGCAGGAGCAGTACCATGTTTGTCTAGCTGAAGGGGCTGCTCGGAGACGGACAGGGCTTGGAGATCCGGGGTGAGTACTGCTTCTGGAGCCTTCTGCCCACTCTGTGCCAGCTGCTCCTCCAGCTTGCTCTGCAGCGTGCTGTTGGTTTCGATGCTCCTTTCCAGCTGTGCCCGCAGAGCCTGGATCTCTGTAAGGAGGTCGTGCAGGTCACTGAAAGGGTCCTGCCCCCTGCAGCCTTCTCCTGACGCCTCTGCTCCGGCCTCTGTGAACATGTGCAAAGGGAACCTTGACATCTTCCACCACCGAAGGGTCAGTCATCAAAGGAGCTCAGCAGTGTTTTAAATGTACCACCATAACCCGCCCCTTCCTAAGAACTAGGTACAATTTAAAATAACAACTTGACTTTAAAAACAAAAATATTGGCAGGCTTAATTGCTGCTATTCCACAGGCTAAATAAGAGCTGGAAATTAATTTTCGCTTCTGGCCATAAAAGCCTTGCAAATTGCACACCAAACCCCGAAATTATGTATAGTAGTAATAAAATCTATTTGGGCTAGAATTATAGAATGAAAGGGGCTGATTTTAAGAGCTACAGTATATTAAAAAGCACAAAAGCAAGAATAAGAAAAGGAACTTAAAGAGAAAATGAAAGTTGTGACCCTTTTCTAGATAAACTTTCAGTAGGGAGAAACCATCTAGAAAATTAGTTAAAAAAAAAACCCAACCACACCTCAAAATTGATTCTGAAACATTAGACTTAGTCAAGTCGCTCCTATCAGGTATCTCTTATCAGGAAACACAATCAATGGGCCAGAGCTAACAACTGTCTCCAGAGCCACGGCCAGCACGTAGTAGGGATGCTCTAAGTATCTGCTGAATGAAAAGGCAGAGCGAATACATAGCAGCAGGAGAATGACAATAAAGTCATGTCCTGAGCATCTCCCATGTGCCAGCTATGGTGCTGGGACTTCATGTGCTTTCAATTTTCACTCAACTCTACGGAGCAGATATTATGAGACACATTTTCCAGAGGAAGGAAAAGGCCCTCGGGGTGAGGGCATTACGGAAGGTCACAAGGCCAGGCACGAGGCACTGAGAATCCAAGCTAACTCCTCAGCCCAAGTCCTTGTGTTTCCTGTGGCGTCTTCAGAAGAAGACGGTGCCAGAGCACTTGCTTCCTCACATACCACACTCCCCAAGAGGCAAGTGTGGGGTGTGAGGCTCAGAGAAGAGCCCAGTATGCAGCTCCCAGCCCACTCACTAGGCCCAGTACCTTGTGCTCCCCTGTGCTCCTCGTGCAGCCTCTCGTACACCTTCAGCTCCACACGCAGGGACTGGAGCAGCTTGTCGTTCTGGCAGAGCAGCTGCTCCCTTGACTTCAGCTCCTCCTGCACCCTGAAAAGACCCCACCGGCATGAAAGGAGAGGTTACCTCCAACTTGGGGTGACTTACCCAAACCCCACAGAGAGGTCAATTCCACCCTCAGCCAGAGCAGTGTGGACAAAAGAGATGCGTGACACGTCCTCTCATGTAATCTTCACAGGCACTCCAAAAAGTATGTGCCTTTGAGCCACCAATTCATGGACATGAGGAAGTGAAGCTCAAAAAGACTAAGCCTCACTCAGGGATGCAGAGCTCAGAAGAGGAGCCAGGACTGTGTGAAAGCAAAGATAGTGACCTTGGGGCCTCCCTGGTGGCACAGGGGTTGAGATGCTGCCTATGAAGCAATCTGTAGCCACTGCAGCACAAGTTTGATTCCCGGCCGGCCAGGGAGAAACCCACATGGCGGGACAGACCTCTCCTGTCTCGCCCACTGCTCCCCTCAGCAGTGTACTTCGGTCTGTCTGCCTGTTCTGTTCCCTGCTCTGTGTCTAGTGAATCCTCTCACCCCCCACATCTCTGGCCTGTACCCCAATTCTTGTATAAAAATAAACAAATCTTTAAAAAAATAAAAAAGACAGTGACCTTGCTACATCCCCATTGTACCCCGGTAACTGGGGGTGATGTCAGCAATGCTAAGACACTGAGAACACGTGGGACAAGACAGCGTCTAAGGACAAAGCTGCAAAAGAGCGGCTGACATGACTATCATGCTCCAAGTCAGACTCAAATCATTCCTCTGCTTGGATTCTCCCAGAGGCCTCCTCTGTCACTCAAAGCAAAACCAGAGAACTTTTACATGCAGCCTACATTGGTATGCAGCCTCCTCTCTGCCCTCCTCCCCACAGCCTCTCCGTCCAGTGCACAGCCTCCCTGTCTGCCCCACACAGGCCAAGCACACTCGCCCTCAGGGCCTGGCCCTTTCTTCCCTAGACAATCTACCTCAGGGATTGGTGGGGCACACACGCTCACACGCTCACGGTGTCCAGAGTGCTGCTCACAAGGCATCTTTTCAGATAGGCTTCCCTGACCCACCCTTAAAAAAGAGCAGTGGCCCCAGGCCTCCGCCTGCTTAGATGACTTTGCTCAATGCATTTCATTTCCACCCAAGGCTCCTGGGGCACGGGGCAGCCTCCTGGTTTTGGGACCACACCCCACGGCCTAGACAGGGGCCTGGTCCACGGGGCGCAGACACATCTGCACTACCTGCGCAGCTCGCCGCGGCTGTGGCAGACCTCGCTGAGCAGCTGCTGGTTGTGCTTCTCCTTCTCGCCCACTTGCCTCTGCAACCGTTCATTTTCTCCCCTTACACAGGCATATTCTTGTTGAAGATGCTCGAGGTTTGCCATCTTCCTGGAGAGAGACTCTCGTAATTTTTCATTCTCCTTCTGTTTATCTGTAAACACAAAAAAGCACCACTAGGAAGAGACACCATTTGTTTTTTCCAACCTTATTACGTAAATACAGCACTTCAGCTGCAGCACTCCAAGAATACAAAAGAGAATGAGATTTAATCTGGCATTTATGATTTTGGCATTCCAATTATCTTATGTATTTTGGGCAGATAAATCTGTCAACATCAAGGCTACAGATTAAACTTCACTGGGATGAAATGGGTCTGTTTAATTTTCTATTAAATAATGGGCCATGTAAACCTAGTTACTTTGCCTTCACATAGCAAACAGTTGGTAGAAATAATAGAGGCAAAAAACAGGGCCCCAAACTCTAGCCACAGTGTGGGAGACGTCCACAGGACCCCTGCAAGGAGGCCAGCAGGCTGTGCAAAGGGCACCCTGAGTCCACTGACTCCTCTGGCTGTGAGGACAGCGCCTCCCTGAGGAACAAAGTACACTGAGCACAGAGATGCAGTGGTCAAGGGCATGTTCAAGGACAGCTCTCCTGTTTGCTGACTCTAGAACCCCAGCAAGTTTTTTCGCTTCTCTGTGCATCAGTTTCCTCATCCTCGTCTGTGAGGATTAACTGATAGCTCTACATGAAGGCGGCACACAGGGCTTCTCCTGCCCTCTGGAGTTGTGCAAGAACCACAGGCTGGAGTTTGCGGGGCCACCACTGGCATGACTGCAGCATGCGCTGCAGGCCTCTCTCCCCAGCCAGCCTCCAGCATAGGTACCATTGTCCTCCCACCTCTTGGATGAAACTCAGGATCCAAGAGGTTAAGATTTCCCGAAGGTCACACAGCCATCCATGGCAGCGTCACGCTTCAGACCCACATTTCCTGATTCTACTCTTAAACTCACAGCATGATCTTTTCTGAGCAAGCTTTCTCCTCCCCCTCAGGCTCCAGACACACTAAGTGCCACAGAATTCCCGACTGGTCTGTCTCCCCCACCTTCAGCCCTGAGGCCTTAGTCTATTCAAAAGGCTGTGTCTCTTGAAAGCACCTTAGTCACCCTGGCTAACCCCTACTTATCCTTCAAGACTTAGCTGTGGAAGACCAGCTTCCCCTAGGTCAGAACCCTCTCCCAGATCCCACAGTTCCCTGAATTTGCCTCTATCATGACTAATTCTCACACTAACTGCTATGGGTAGCCTGTCTCTCCCATCAGACCACAAGTCCTCTGACAGAAGGAACCAGATCTCACTAACTCTGTATCAGGCCTACCCAGCTTAAAACATAGAACAGGAGCCAAGAATGCCGGCTGAGTGAATAAAAGATCTGCAGAAGTCCATCTTCTTGTCATCCCTTAAATTAAAATCAGCATCAATATCCCCCACAGAAAGAGAGCAAGCTGGCCAGGTTATACTTCCACCACCATCTGGCTCTGTGACCACAGGTTGGTCAATCATCTAGGCCTTGGCTTGTTAGCTATAAAACAGGAATAACATCTTTCCAGAATTATTTTAAATAAATGAGGGATAATGAAGTGAAAGCCCTCTGAGGGTGAAGCTCCTAGTAGAAAAGGGTTCGTCATAAGAAATGACGGAAATGCTTCCCTGGCAGCAGGAAGTCTCTGGCTGAGATCTGGCACATATCCAGCCTTTCTATCTTCCACCATGAACTAAGACGAATGAGAGGGGACTATAGAGAGAGAGCGGGTGACAAGAAAGTAATAACATTCACTGAGACTCTGTGAGACCCCCTGCTGCGAGCTTCCAGTTTCTAATTGGTGTAACAGCCCTATCAGGTATTCCTATTTCACAGCTAAGAACACTGAGGTTGGGAGAGGTGAAATGACTTGCCCAAAGTCTCAGAGCGACAAGGTATGAATAGTTGGTTAGACTTCAGTGCCTGCACCCTCCCTCCCACAGGAGGCCACTGGGCTCCAGCCTGCAGGGAATCCTGTAACTCTCACCTCTGGATCCTTTAGCGAGCATTGTATTAAGGGCCTGGTTCTGCTTCCTCAGGAAATGAATTTCTGATGTCAGAGAATTATGCAGTTCTGAGCCATAAGCAAAGACGTTTGTAGACCCTATAAAAAACACACAGTCTCCAGGTCAGCATGGAAGGAACTTTCTAGAAAAATTTTCAACAATGAGGAAACACAGCATGCAATGAAAATCACTCCTATGAACTATCTAAGGTATTACCAGAACCCAAAGGGAAAAGAGAGGGCGTTTGAAAGGAAGCAAAAGGGGGCTCCTCCCCATCTCGCCTACCCACTCTTCACCCCACCTCATAGTGAACAAAACAGGAGACTTGGGCTAGAGGTGGGGTGAGCGGGTGACCTCCACATGTATCTCTCCTGAGGTCTAAACCCTCAGTTCACCCCTCCATGGAGTCTCCCAGTCCACAGAGCCAAGGCTGAACCCTTTCCACTTTCTCCCTCATCATTCCACATCTGCCTTCTCTCCTGTTTCTTGCCTCTGGAAATGGGATCACTGCCCCTAATCCGACCTAGAAACCTGGGGACCATCCCAACACCTCTCTCCCACTGCCCAATAAGACAACCAGAACCTCAGCCTCCAAAATGCTTCAACCCCTGGCCCACTCTCTTCTGTCCCTATAGTTCAGGCCCTAACCTCCCTCCCTGCTACCCACCACAGTGATAATCATCCTACCACTGGCCCTTCATGCTATTCTCTGCTCAAAAACATTTTAAGACATTTGCTCAAAGACCACTGCGAAAGACAAATAGCAAACAAACCTAAACGGGATCCAAACTTCAGATCACTATTATTTAGCTCCATCCTCATGGCTCCAATCTCAACACAGACCCCAGTGTGCCCTCAGTGGCCCACACTTATCACATGGTTGCACACCTCCCTGACTGTGCAGAACAAGATACTCTCTTTGCCTAGAATGCCCACCACCTTCTTCACTTATCAAAATCATACTCATCTTCAACTTGGCATTCAAATTCATGGTCTCTAAGTATATGCTAAAAAGATCAGGATCTAAAGCTGGGCAGACTAGATTTGAAGTCACTTACAAATTCTGGTTGATTATATCATCTCCCCAGACCTTGGTCTAAGTTCTGAAATCCTACTCCATCCTCTGGCCAGAGATCTCCCTCAGCCCTCCAGCTCAGCTCTCCCATCTCTGACCTTTCTATGTCTGCATGTTCAGGTTCACAGCCACACTCTGGGGAGCATCTCCAGAGAGCACAGTGCTCTCCACATGTGGCAGGGGCTTCCCTTCCTGGCTTCCTTCTTGACTGAGTCTACTGCACCACAGAGCCAAAAGGCTAGACACCTTCTCTCCTGCCTCCAGTGCAGCCAGAACCTGGTCATGTGCCTCCCCAGTCAGTACAACCTTTTTTTTAAAAATATGATTGATTTATTTATGCATACAAGAACTGGGTTACAGGCCAAAGATGTGGGGGGTGAGAGGATTCACCAGAGACAGAGTGGGGAGCTGAACAGGCAGATCCACTGAAATACACTGCTGAGGGGAGCAGTGGGTGAGACAGGAGAGGTCTGCTGCGCCATGTGGGCTGCTCCCTGGCCGGGGATCGAACTTGTGCTGCAGAGACTGCAGATAGCTTCACAGTGTGGTGCTTAACTCCTTGCACCACCAGTACAACTTAACAGAAGCCAGCTGGGGGCTTCTGGGGAAGCTTTCCCACTAGACATAAAGAGGAGGGCAGGGAAAAGCTCCGCCCTCATCTTTCCCATGCTGTGGACACTGTCCTGAGAAGACACGACACTGGTCATCACTGCAGCCATCACAGGAAACCCTACGCCCTGCTGTCACTGAGCCATTAAACCTGCCTTGCAGCAACCTGCCTCAAGATTTCGTATGATGGAAGAAGACAAGTCCGTGTTGTTCATACCACTCTAGTCACTTCCTGTTGTCTGCAGCTGGAAGCATCCTGTGCACCCTTGATTACCTATAATACTCAAACTCCCTCTAAGGAAGGACTGATATCAGGTCTCCCAGAAGCTGAAAGTTCATCCTCTTTCTGCTCTATAGTGCTACCCATTTCTCATGTCAATGAATCACTTATCACAGTGTTATGTTTTTTTTTTTTTAAATTTTATTCACCTATGTAGCTCCCACTGCCTTCTTCCACTCTGCCCTACGAGCTCTGGTGTTAAACACCTGGGTTTGAATCATGGCTACAGCTTCTTAATAGCTGCATGACCTCGGGCAAGTCACATAACTTCCTTAAGTCTTCATTAGCTCAATAAAAATGATCGATGCTGTTATTATGACAGCCATTACCATCTGCCTTAATATCACGACCCATGTTAAGCTAGAGCCAAAATCGGACTAAAGAGCAATCTGGATGAACTGGAAAAATGCGACAGAATCAGTCTCTGACCATAGCTGAAGTGGCCTCTTTTCTAAGGGACAATCAGACCAAAGAACAGCTCCTAACAAAAGCTGAGTTCGTGGGTCCACTTGTGATGCTCAGAGGCCAATCTCCTCTGAACAACATTACTATAAACCTGCGTAACCGGTGACAAGCTGAAAGACCTAACACACAAAATGACAATTTTTAACAATATTCCACCTCAACTTTACAAAGAGCCAGGCCTTTCTCAAACCAGCTTCCAAGTTGAATATTTCACGGCAGGGGGGAGGTGGAGCCACTTTCATTTCTTTGTCTTTTCAGAGATTGTGACAACATGGTGAGAACAGCGTGTCTCTCCACCAGCGTAAATACTTTATGAATGCCTCTTTGTAAACCTTCCAGTCAGAGTGAATTACTCTCCAGAGCAATTGCCTGCTCCGTTGTCGCTGGTGGCCATTTGAGCCCCCAAATAATTCTATAATTGGATTTACCAGGGAAAATGTAAAACAGAATGAATCTAATTCAAACATTGCCAAGAGTGAATGCGAAGGACTTAGGCATGTATTTCTAGCCTGTGTTTGATATGACTAATAACTACTCAGATTAATCAATTTCCCTGAGGGCGAGAAGGGGACAGTACAGGATAGGGGTGGGGAGACAGTAACAGAACCATTTTGTTTACCTTGCAAACTGCAGCATGTACAATATTTTGGAAAGATGTTCTTTGAGGCTGATGGCTACAATGGGATAGAGGAATGAGAACTGGGCTAGAGGTCCAGGGATTCCAGTACTGCCACTGAGTACATCTTTCTAGAACTCTGCTATCTCATCTCTAATATGACATTTGTGTTCCTACCCACAGCAGAGCTTTGGGCTGTTAAGTACTGTTATACAAAAATAAAATTGCAAAATAAAACTGATAATTATGATGAGAATAGTCATTTCTTGTTCAGTTGGTGGGGGGGGGGGGTGTCACTTGCCTGGACTCACAAAGCTACAGACAGAGGTGCTGGATTCCACAGCCAGCTCAGTCCAACTGCCAAGCAAACTCAGATTTTTCCTAATGCACAGAGTGACTCTCAAGTTCCATTCCCCACAGGAGGAAGACACTCTCTTTGCAGCAACAAGAAGTCTAAAACATACTGTTTGGTCAAAAAAGGGATAGAAGAGTGAACATAGTGTATTCCATGTTTTGAGTGAGGGAGAGAATAAGAACACATATTTGTTTTTGCATTGAAAAAACAGTAAGGATGCAAAGAAAACTATCAAAAGAGAGAGAAGGAAGAATGGAAGTAGTTGGTATAGAATAGAGGTATTAATTTTTTTTATTTATTTAAAGATTTATTTATTTATACAAGAACCGGGGTACAGGCCAGATTCGCGGGAGGGGGAGAGGATTCACCAGAGACAGAGTGGGGAACAGAACAGGCAGACTGATGAAATACACTGCTGAGGGGAGCAGTGGGTGAGATAGGAGAGGTCTGCTGCGCCATGTGGGACCCTCGCCGGCCGGCCAGGATCGAACCCATGCTGCAGAGGCCTGCGGACAGCTTCATAACGCTGTGCTCAACTGCCTGCGCCACCAGGGGAGGCACTAGAGGTATTAATTTTTGAACCATGTGACTATCTTGCCTATGGGGGGGGAGTATACTTTTAAGTTCGTCATGGAAGAACATTCCATTCGTAGCTGACTGTGGTTCTCAGAGACTTTGTGACTGGTATGTGCGATTTATCAGATTGGTAAAATGCTAACACTTTCATTATCCACTACTCACCAAAAAAAAAAAAAGACTGCTTTGTCTTATCTTGAAACACCTATCCATTTCTCTACAGCTTCCAAAGTCAAAGGAGGAGCCAACCATATCTCAGGATGCCAGGGGCTGGGGGCTTCTTTACTGACAGGCAATTAACATTCATCAAGTACCTGCTCTGTGCCAGAGACTGGGGGGCATGCTACTTAAGTCAGCTCACTTAATTCTTATCACAACTGGAGAAAATGGGAATTATTATCTCCCTTTAAAGATTATTATAACTGAGACTCAGCAAGATTAAGTGAGGTTACCCTGGCAGCATAAGCAGATAGTTAAGGTTTGCACTGAAATCTCTCCAGCCACAAGTTCAATACTCTTCCCGATACAGAGAATGCTTTTCCAGACAAGAGCCTCACACATGTTGCTCTTGGGGTGGACACTGCCCTCCAGGATTCCTTACCTTGATCAAATTCAGAACCTTGCCGTTCCAGTTGTCTCCGTAGCTTCTCATTTGTTTTAATAGATTCTTCTAAACGTTTTCTCAAACTTCGAATTTCTTGTATATGTTCCATTAGTAAGTCTACGGAAAAGAACACATTTTTAATTTAAAGTCTGATGCCCCCCACCCAAAATTGAATAATTTACAGATTATGCAGTAATCTTGAAATTCCAAGTGGTACTGGATGTATTAAGATGGTCAGTAATTGGCAATTCTTTCTTAGGCAGGACGAGGCTGAGCTGTTGCCCACAGCCCACTGACATGTCTGTAATGGTTCCCTTCAGGCCTCCACCAGGAAGACATTTACATCACATGGAAAAACTATATTCCATATAATTTTAATGCTAACTCTATGTAGCCTTTTATCCTTCTAAATATCAAATAGTACTTTAAAATCTTCCTTATGGTGAAATTAACAGATCACTTTCAAGTTGGCTTGAATTGCCTGAGAGTTGATTAAACTACCTTCATAATGAATCTAGATTATCTTTGAACTAATTCTTTGAAAAAGAGTATGTTATCCATTTATCACTTACTAACTTAAGACTTAAAAACAAAGCAAAATAATAACCCCAAAGCTAGCGAGAATGGTAAGGAGGGTGCTCTGAGTACATGCTGCCAGCATTGAGTATAAATATAGGAACTTCTGGAATTATTTTTATCATTAGCCTTAGAAAGGTTATTTTCAAATGTCTTTTACCAAGTAATTCCACTTCTAGGAATCTAGTTAAACAGACTCCAGTGATGCTGACAACCATTTGCCAAAATGCACGAAAATATTCATCTTAGCACTATATGTAACAGTGCGAATTGAAAATAACTTCAATTATTGTATTATATCTACTATGATGCAATATTACACAGCAGTCAGAATACTATCATGAAGACCATTTAAGATCATGGGAAAATACAGAAACAATGGGTTATTCAGCATTATCTACAATCTACTGAAAAGTCTACAGACAGACAGACATATCAAAGGAGACACACCTAGGTATCGGCAAAGGCTACCTATGGATAGCAAATTGCGTTTTTCAAAAAGTCCATGTTACATCTAAATATTGAATAGTGTATAAAATTTTTAATTTTCCAAATTTTCCAACACGAGCATATATTCTTTTATCAGGCTCTGATGCATCTCACTTTAACAAAGAAAAGAAGGAAGCACAGTTCCACTCTAGAGGTAGGTTCCTAGAATCAGTTTTTAAAGCATAATCACATTAAGTATCCAAAGGCAAAACTAATGTCTCTAATTCATCAATTAGGGTACACTCAGTATGTCTCAGTAATGTTTGTTTTAAAACATTATACTAATGTTATGACCCAGTTTTAATTCCTCCAAAATGACTTTCATTTAAAAGTAGCACAATGTTACAGATCTTTTCCTAATTAAATACTAATTTTGTCATGAATTTGAATGTTTATGAGATAACTTAATTCCCAGACCTTCAGCTATCTCCTATTAATGCCAGGAACGTGTGAGTCGTCTGGTGGAATGTTGGAGGTCCTCACGGCAGCCCAGTGCTCAAGTCTTCAGTGAACACCTGGTGGACACAGCACTGCCCCTCCCATGGCTGCCCTGCTGCCCCGCACACCTCCCCGGGGCCAGGCAGGCTGGGGGGAGGCAGGAACTTAGCTGTTCTGGTTCGGCCTTCCCTGCGGCTTACCCACGCCACTCATGCCGGCTTCTGGGGCCATAGCGTCCAGCTGCCATGGCACAGGCCAACTTCCACTGAGTCTGACCGGGAAAGGGCCTCAATGAAGCACTCCCAGTGGAACTGGACACCACTTATGAATTATGCAGCTCTAACCCAAAAGAAGGAAACATTACACTCACCTTTGTGAAAATGGGAGGACAGTACCTGTCCTCTTACAACAACTGCATTCTGACAGCTCCCACTTTAAAACCAAAAATTCTGTAAGAAGCAACCACTTAAAACAATGTGCATATCTTTTGCTGAGTGTTCTGATTTATAGAATCTAGGTTAAGAAAATGCCCCAAAATAGAGGAAAAGCTTCCTATTCAAACCTATTTCCTACAGCACTGTTCACAACTGTGAAATTTTAGAAATGTTCTTTGATGAACTTAAATATTCATCAACAGGGAACACAAAGAAAACTGTAGTTCAGCCATTCACTGGACTGTTCATAAAGTCACTGAAAATGATGTTATATAACAACATGTCAGAAGCTTATGATGGGATGTTAAGGAAAAAAATACTATATAATCTCTATCAGGTAATAAACATGACAAGAAGAAAAAGAGATGTAGAGTTGAACAGTCTGAAGAGACGCTAAGTGGATTAATTAGGATGGCTCCAGAGACTCTGGTCCCCTCATCCACCAGGAGGGCATGGGAAACCAAGGTCACAGGTCCCCAGGAAAACCTGCAATAAAAGAGATGCCTAAAAGGTTCTGCATTGGAAACAAACCAAGGCTGGCGTGGCAGACTGGGTGGAGGAGGCACAGAACAAAGAGAGGCAAGAAGAGGAGGAGGAAGCACCGGGCACCACAGCAGCAGGTCTGTGAAGACAGGACCTCACATTCTCCGACTCAAGGGGCCTAGCCTGCTGCCCTGTGCTCCCCACCATGCTCCCATTCCTCCAAGCCTCAATCAAGTCTGCTCCTCCCACAAGGTGCTGTGGGGGTGGCCTCAGGGCTCTTGGGAAGGGGCTCTTGAGTTCCCAGACGGACAGATCAAGCACAGAAGGAGGTGGCATCAGGGACAGGGAACCAAGTCACAATCTGACCTAAGTCAGGAAAACCATAAAGTCAGAAATAACCGAGGGAAACCAAGCACAGAGCTCAGAGGGACACAGCCAGAGATCACACAACAGCAAGCAAAGTGACCAAGTGCTAACGCCTAGATGACACCCAAAATATGTGCTCTGTGCTCCAGGTGCTTTTTCGAACCTGCACACTGAGTGTCCTGGAGGCGCACAGAGCCTCAGAGAGAACAGACTCCATCCCCGCTCTCTATTACATATTGTACTACCATATGAAGTCTTGTCTGAAAAGGGGGGGCAGTGAGAATCCTGTTGTTAAAAAAATGATCTTACATTTTTGAACACCCCGGTTCTATGTGATCAGGTGTCACAGAATGTTTCTAGCAAGGATGTACCAGTGTCTGGTGTGTGATTGACAAAGTCCACTCCAGGTGCTTTACAAACAACCCTCTGGAAAAAGAGCCAAGAGGATGTCAGTCGAGGTCCAGAGTCTATACCAGGGGTCAGGAACTCACAGCCACATTCATTTGTTACATGTTGACTGTGGCTGCTTCTGTGCCACAACCACTGGATTAAAAAATTGCAAGATGGGGCCTCCCCAGTGGCGCAGCAGTTGAGCGCTGGGTTGCAAAGCTGCCCGCAGCCTCTGAAGCGCCAGTTCGATCCCCGGCCGCCAGGCGAGGGTCCCACATGTAGGGCAGACCTCTCCTGCCGCCCACTGCTCCCCTCAGCAGTGTACTTCGTCAATCTGCCTGTTCTGCTCTCCGCTCTGGCTCTGGTGAATTCTCTCACCCTTCCACACTTCTAACTGTACCCAGTGCTTGTATAAATAAATAAAATAAAATTAAAAAATTGCAAGATGGCCCACAAACTGTCTAAAACATTTACTACCTGGCCTTTGACTAGAAACATTTGCTGATGCCTGGTCTCGCTGGTCTCGGCTATCCTATCCCTAGAACCTCTGAAACATGCTGAACTACAAACACTAAGCCCCATCTACTCCTAAAGAGGAGACAATCAAGACTCAAGCACAGAAGACATAAGGGGTGGCTCAGGGACACGTGGGCCCTTGGGAGGCTGATTCTGCCAAGTGAGCCCAAGGCTCCTGGTCAGAGGAAAGACGAGAGACTGACCCAGTGGGCCAAGTCACACTAAAGAGAAAGAGCAGATTTACAGAACAATGGAAGAGGGTTGGGTACACTCAAGCTTTTGTACAATTCAAAGCAAGGATCTTCAAAGTGACCCTTAAAGGAGGTTTGAAAGAAACAGCAGGAAATTAGCTAGACTTGGAACTGACACTTGACCTTGGTGCTTTCCAGCCTGTCACTGTTGGAAGAGCAACGGCAGGTCACAGAAGACATCAACATTAAGAAATGAAAACGACTTTTCCCCAATCACCAATACATTCAACAACTGCGGCTCTGCCCAGTGACAAATGCCACTCCAGAGGACCGGCCGAGGTCCACCAGCATCTCCTTTCTCCAGAGAAGTACTCAATACTGAAATATTCAAGCACTACACTCTTATTAAGGCAAGATGGCAAATTAGGGTCTGAACAAGAAACTCTGGCCATGTTTAAGATGCTGAGTAAGGTTTAGCTCACCTTGAGAAAACACACTGGCCACCGCCGAAGTCTTCTCCATCTCACTGTCCGGCTTCTGGTCTCGTGAGGACGACTTTTCGGACATGTCATAATCGGACAATGCACGCAAGGTGGAAGGCCCAGGAGATTCGGGGAGAATATACTGGTACGTTAAGTTGTCTTCCTCAATCCTTGACCATTGGGATTGAAAGAGAAATCATTTCGCTCACTAAGATCCCAAGCCAGCACCGTATCTTAAGTACACTTAAGGTGACTCAATGCTTTAGAATTTCCCCATAATTGCCACTGTTTTTTTACAGCCCTTTTGCTTCCCTAAAGCATTTTTTAGCAAGAACATTCTAAAAGTAAGGGGCTCGGTGGGCTTCAGTTTATAGCCAGTGAAGAAGGGGGAGCTACCATCTGGCTTGTGAGGAGCAACCTCAAGAGAGGGCATGAGTCAATGGTGGCTGTTTACCAAATGCCGGCTCTGTACCCAGCATTGCTGATATACTATCTTACTTGGTCCTCAGAAACTCTTTGCAGCAGGGTTGACCATCCTCATCTGGAGTTGGGGAGACTGAGGCACATTATAAACTTGCCTAGTGTCTCACAGCGTAAGTGGCAGAGCCCACATCTGAACCTGGTCCGTCTGCTTCCAAGGCCCCAGGACAAGGTGGGCGGTCAACCCAACCTAGGAGGTGGCCTAGCAGGTTTAGGAATCTCAGAACCCCTGCGGCCCCAAGCAGGTGCCATGATCACCATTTGGCCGATCCTCTGGCGATTAAACTGCATTTCCTAAGCCTCCAGGAAAAAGACCCTGAACTCTGCAAAGCCCACATGAATCTCCATTACAGATAAGCTTCTTAATTTAAGCTCTTTTCCCCCACTTTTTCCTATTACTTCTTTGTCTCATTATTCATGAGCTCAGACAAGAGCAAAGGACTCCAAAGCTGCAACGCATTCATTAACAGGTAAACACCAGCTGAGCCTTTGCCCAGACAGCGTGATGGATGCGTGGGCTTGCCTGCCTTGCACAAGAGCGGAATGGGCCAAGGGCATCCATTTAATTAGCTTGGGAATGACCCATGTGAGTGCTAAGTCTACAACTCAAAAAAGGTAGACGAGGAAGAAAAAGAAACAAATCTGTCAGGAATGGTAAAGGTGGCACATGGCTGAGGACTGACTCAGCTCCAGCCTCCCCAGCTCTTTCTCCAAGCACTCACCGTTGTCTGGCAAGATGGCAAACCTGACCCTACCTACTCCTACCCTGCCTCCTTCCCAGATTCCCTCCTCCTGTAGAACATTATTTGGACTTAAGACCAGCCCAACGCAGCCTGCCTGCCTCTCTGGCCTTGGCTCACAGCTCAGGGACCAGATGCTGCTTTCAAGCAGTCTTTTCAAGAAGTTATGTCACCCTCCTTCGAGCAGAGACACTCTCCTCCCAACACCTGTGCCCTCCACTCTCGTCCCTCAGATCTCAGCTTGATCTCCATTCTGAGAGATCTTCCTTCCCTTCCATGGCCTATCCATGGGATATGATCTGTTGTTATAAGGATGGAAGTGGAGAGCAGAGGCTGAGAGACATCTTTGAAAATACTGCAGTGGGAGAAGTATATTTCTTCTAAACTAATTAAAATGTTCTCCGGTGAGTTCTGTGGTCTGCTCACTCTGATGATGCTGGTGGCCTTCACAAGGCCAATAAAATAGAAGATTCTGGACTTCAGACTGGTCTCTAAATTGCCCACAGCATGAACAACATTTGGAACCTTTAACAAGTAAACAGAAGCGGGCAAGATCTTGGCATTTCCAGTTGGCCATAGAGCAAACACAGTGTATAATTCACTTATTCCATGAACATTTTGTGAATAACAACTACATGCCAGATACATGGAGCTGGCACAGATGCAGACATATTCAAGACACATTTTCTCCCTCAAAAGTATTGTGGAATAACAGTGAGAGTCCAGGCAGTGGAGTATGACAAATTCAAGTTCTAATCCCAGCTCTGCCTCTTAATAGCAAGTATGTGACTCTGACCCCAGGCATGGCATCCTAAAATGGGAACAATAAAGTTGACTTTCTAGGGTCAGAAGCAATGAATGTGAATGCCTTGGGCAGCGGTTAGCACACACCAATACCCAGTTAATGCGAGCTCCTTTTCCCTTTCCAGGAATTCTGGGAGTGGAAAGATAAATGCAGAAAGTATTATAATGCCATGTGGTAAGTGTTGTAATGAAATTATGAGCCAAGTGCCACAGGAAGAGTAGCTGGTTCTGAGATGTAGTGGAGAGACAGGTGGTGGGAAAAGCAACCGACTCTGTAGAAGGGTTTCAAATTCAAAGAGGAGGACAGAACCTAGAGCATGTGCACAGGCATGGCCCCAGAGCAATAAAAGCCAGGCTACAGGCTAGAATTTACCCTGCAGGTGCCCAGGAGCCAATGGAAAGAATGAGACCATCACCTGGTCAAATCACCTGGCAGAACTGCCACAGGTAACCAAAGACAACTGAACTTAGGCTGCGGGAGACACACAGCATGAACTCTTGGTTGTGTGTGGCCACTGTGGTTTCATTGGTGTTTATGCTTTATTTATAAGCAGCAGAAACTAAAAGAACAGTCAGAGCTGGAATGTTTAAAAAGCCAGCAGACAAACCAAACCTGCAAAGTACTCACCGGTCTACCAGTTCATTCTGGGTGCTCATTTCCACTTCAACTGATTTTCCTGGAAACAGATATATCGAGAAGGAAAACATTTTTAAAAACTGTTCCCTAATAATTACCTGCTTGTACATTGCAGAGGCACTGTTCCATTTGTTGAAACACTCTTTACAACAATCCTGGATATTTAAAGTGGAATCACCAAGAATATAATTCACACCATGGACTCTCCTACATCACTGCTCTGGCATGGGTTAAGGTAGGAAGGGGACAACATTGAATCTAAAAAGCATTCGAAAAACACTGCTGGGTGCAAGCTCTTTTCCTTCTCTAAAACTCTGATACTAACAGAATACATGCTCAATTATAGGAAATGGGTATCAGAATGAAGAAAATGAAGAAAAATATCACTATCGCCAGGCGAGTACCCACTGCGGGCACATTACTAGATTTCCTTCCATTCTTTATTCTGTACGTCTTGGCACGGGTGATACTGTATTGTGACTTAATTTTTCACTTTGTACTTTGTTATAAGCATTTCTCTTACTCAATTGGCTTTAGAAACACCATTTTTAATGACCACATTAATATTCTGTGCTAAGCATGCACATACGCCACAATTTTTTCCAGCTCCCTGTTTGACATTGAGGTCATCTCCAATTCTTCACTTGTATAAATAAATGAAATAAACATCGTTATGCCTACAGCTTTATCTGCATTTAAATTATTTCCTTAGGAAAGATTCTCAGAAGTGAGATTATTAGGAAAAGGCAAATATGAGCAGAGCTGAAAAAGTCAGTATCGGCAGCAAGGAGAGTGACCAAAAGAAATGACAAAACAAAATAAAGCTCAGAAAGTAGCTCAGCCAAAGATGCTCTGCTTCCTCCTGCATGTCATCATTTGCTGTTTGAAAGGAAGCACATGAGCCCAGATTTCAAAGAGACTAACAACTTTATTTTAAAAATACTTCAGAACTCTGGAAATTGCAGGCTGGGATGAGCTCTTTGAAGAAACTAACGCGTGGCTAAAGAAAAAAACAAACCCTTCTAAAGCTGTACTTGAAAAATGAGACTATAATTAAACTGCACCCACACATACCATTTTCAAAACTACTCCTAAAAGGAAAGTTCTCAAACACCACGGGCAGAGGAAAAGATCCCTGGAGACTCGTGCATTTGCTTGATGTCTGGTGGTTCCCGCCTGCAAGCCTCCAGGCCACATGAGCAGCTGTCAGGGCTCCCTCTCCACCTCAGGGGGTTGGCCCCCAGGCACCCAGAGTCAGAGCCATATCCAGAACACCTGAACATCACCTACCACTCACTGCCGGGCAGCTTTGGTTGCTGGAAGGGTCACACAGGCCTGAGCAGCCAGACACCAGCCCCAATACCATGCTTCAATACCCTCCAGCCCCTCTAGGTGTCGCCCAATCCTACAGTCCTAGCACCAGGATCTCCAGTCTACAGTTGGGAAGTGGGAATCCCAGAGGTTCTCACTGCCAGTTCACACACTCATGTCCCAGTGAAGCAGAGGAGAGGAACTCTGCTTGTAACTAGCGCAACCACAAATGTGCAGCTTGGTCTTCTTGGTTCCATCCTCACCAAAAATGTCACGATATTTTAGTTCCCCAGAAGGAAGAGACAGGTTGACAGGCCTGTAACACTGATGCCATCTGTCCTCCGTCCATCTTTCTGTCCTCTGCAAGGGGGGAAATCTACTTCCTATTGGGTCAGGCAAGAACCACTGGATACTCAACGAACAACTCACTTGGCATTTGGCCACCCGCACCTGCACGAGAATTGCTTACCAGCCTCAGTGGGTAAGATTTTGGGTGAAGAACCCTGAGGAGGGGCCACCTCTCCCAGCCTTCCCAAGTGCTTCAGAGACAAGAACATCACATCCTGCTTCACCTGCAATTTGCTCTTCAGGAGCAGATCTGCCTCGGGAATGTCACTACTTGGGGAGGCTTTCAACATTCACACACTCATCTTGAAACCGCCCCAAACCTCTCCTCGATCCCTAACAAAATCCATGAGCACAGAGGGAAGAGCCCTAGTGCCACCAGATGAGCTTCCCCTTCTTTTAGTAGAGCCGCTTTGGGCAGTAGAAAAGACTCAACGGTTGTGCTCCGCCTGCTCCCCTATCACAACAGAGCTCTTCAAGACCAAATGACAAATCGTTACAGTGGGGTCAGAGCGAGATCACGACACATGCTGCATGGAAGTTCTTGGTGGAAACGGCCTTGCACAAGTGCCAGGGCACCATCTGTCAACCTCTTCCCAAGCTCCCATCTCCCAGGCAGACTTCACTGGAGGAGGAGGAGGCAGTGGGGGGGCCTTGATCTTTTCAAGTAAAAAAAATCTAGTTATCTGGTCCATATTTGAGCAAGCTAGAGAATTATTATGTAGGATAGACTAGTAATGGGTTGGCTCACCTTGGGTTTCCTCTATGCACTGCTCTGTGCTGTACGCGGCCACCATTGAAGAAGCCTCTTTTGATACAGCGCCCCCTAGCTCAAAATCTAGCAATCAAACAGAGGGTAGTAGGGCTAGAAAAGGCCGACTCTGGAAGGTCTTAACAGCAGAAAAGGCCATCCATACAGGGGAGAGTCATGGGCAGCTAAACCCCAACAGCTGTGGGGAGTCACTATAGGAAAAGTCAACCTGGCAGTTTCCTTCATACCTGCCCCAGTGCTTACTCAAAATGCCTAAAGACCAAACACTCCTTCCTGGTTTAGGTTACTGGTCTTGGGAGGCACCTAAAACAAGGACATGGTAGACCCTTAATGAAATCCCTTGCCTATGGAGCCAGGGAAGAACCCCATTTTTACTCCCCACAAGCATTCAGAACCTACACTGCCATCCTACTTCTAGGGCTCTAGCAATTAAATATGACCTAAGAAATGGCAGGGATGTTCTTTGTCACAGCCCCAAACTGGAAACAACCTAAATGTCCATTCAGTGGGGAATGATTAAATAAATCATGGGATATGCATACAAAAGAATGCTCTGCAGTCACTAAAACTTACAATGTAGATGAACATTTATTATCTATAATTGAACAAAGGGGGAGGCTGCAAATAGGGCTGCTTTCAAAAAATGATACATACATATAAAAAAGGTCTAGAAGGATGCTCCAGGAGGTTCATGTTTTGCTGTATAAATGATGCAATTATAAGAGTATCTGCTTATCTGTTATTCTACAATAAACATGTACTGCTTCGTATTAATAAAAAAAGAATGTATTTAAATTTTTTAAGAACTCATGCTATGCAACTGCCTCAAATAAAAACTACTTTATGATAAGCTTGTTTCATAATTCAGGAGTCAAACCCTTTTAGAAAACAGGATCCAAAGAAGACCCACCTCTGTTAACTTTTATTCTCTAGGGAAAAAAAGAGCTGTGGTGAGGTTCCTGGGACTTTTATGCCCTTTGTAGAAGAAAATAAAGTTCTGTCTGTGTTGTTAAGAAATGCTAAGCCTGAAATGCTTCTGTTTCCAGAACCCACAGGAAACAAGAAGTGAGATCTCGCTGGGCTTGTCAAAGTAAATAACTAAAAAATAAATCAGGGGGAGGGGCAGCCGGTGCCAGAGGCACTCTCACAGCCTCCCGCTTCCCAGGGCCCAGGCTGACGGCTTGTAGGAAGAAAGAGACAGACGGAAAATGCCTCAGGCCTGGAAGACACAGCTCTATCTTGAGAACCCGGTTATTTCTGCAGTGATAAAACAAAAACTAGCTTGGGAAACTTCAGCCAGAAGAAAGAGGATTTCATAAAGCTGGGGAAGTCAAGTGCTCTATGTCCTGGCTCCCAAAGGTCCCTGGGGACAAGCACTAAGAAAGTTAGCCTGCACACGCCTTAAGCTATTTGGCTTTTTTAAAAAAAATCAGGAAATACCTTCCTTGGGTCCAGAAGGACAAACTATCCCACATTCTATCTTATAATTCAACTGAACATGTGTGAACCCTCACGAACCATCTGTTTTATATGTGTGAAGACAAGAACTGAGGTCAAATCCCAGCCCCAGAAAGTCACTCATGACTTTGAGCAACTGACTTTTCCTCTGCTTCAGTGAAATTCCTATAGTCTAGAAGCTGCTGTGAGGAGAAAGCCCCGAAAGCACTTGGTGCCTCCCCAAAACAAGCCCTGAGCACTGAGCCCAGCTTCACACCCAATTTAAATGTAACCCCTGCCTCTCACAAAGAAGCCTCTGACTTGGAACAGACTTGCATGAGGAAAAGATCACTCTGACTATAGTGTGGAGATGGCTGAAGCTGGAGGCAGGGAGGAGAGAGGTGCAGGGGAGGCGACAGTGGCAAACTGGAGCCACAGCAGCAATAAAATCAGATTTGGAATATCTGTTGAAGGCAGAGATTCAAAGGGGCAGCTGTGGGGTTCGGGTGATGAGAGCGCTGACTGAGTGGTGTCCTCCAAGACGTCATGGGAAGAAAGGGTCTTCCCAGAGAGGCGGGGAAGAATGCAAGCCCAATCTAGTGGGTTTAAGAGAGAAAGGGGGCCTAGAAAGGTCTAATGGATATTAAGGAGGACACCAATAATGACATAGAGGCCATTTAAAATGATAAACGTTTTAACTTTGGAACTACCTTAACGTTTTTCATATTCAAAAAACACCAATGGGGAGGAACTGAATACAAACAAAAGCAAATCTACTTGTATTTCAAATGAATAATGTAACACTGTAGAAAGAATGAAAACAAGTAACTTTTAAATTCAATACTTGACTAACCCTTAGCCTAAAACCAAACAGAACTAAACAAATCCTGGCTCTTTCAGTCACTATGTTTCTTTACGGTTCTGGATTCTGGTGTTCCCGTCATCATGGGATGGAGCAAAAGGCAGATGTGGCCTGGGAGTCAGAGTTCTCACTGCTGGAGAAGGAAGGGCAGGAAAGAGCAGTGGAACTGGATATGCCATGAAGATTTTTAAACTAAATCATACATTTTTATACATATGTGTGTGCATGCATGTGTCTGTGCACAGATGTGTGTGTGCACGTGTGCCTATAAGGCAACTGAAGGGAGGGGCTGTGGAATTGAGCTCACTCTCCCAGGCTCTAACACTAGCTCCAGGTAGACGGTCAGAATCCAGTGGCCTGTAGACACCCTGCTGGAGAGAGGAAACCCCTACACGTCTGGAGCCCAGAGGAGTCTGCAGAGGGGGGCACTGTGGGAGAAGTAAAGAAGACACACAGGGAAGGAAGACATAGTAGGGAAGAATTGGATTTTTCCTCATCTGGAGGAAGAAAACTGAGGTATCTCCCTCACAACTGTACAATAAAGAACACTGCGCTGTGGTTAGAAAGAAGACGTCCTTGGTCTGAGGATCAAGTAGCTAGAAGATAGGGACATGAGATTGTCAATCCACTCTCACTGGGTTCAGAAAGAAAATAGTAAGAGCACGTGTGTGGCGAGAAAGAGACAATGAGAAAGCATGTGTGGTAAAATACTAACAACCAATAAAGCCAAACACAGGGTACATAATGTTTTTTTAAAAATTGGCAAATTATTTTTTTAAACATTTTTAGAGCAGGCTGAAGTACCTAGCAGGCTGGTGAGGTGGCCAGGAAGCCAGGCAAGGGACAGTGCAGGCCACCAACCACACGGAAGAGGTCGTGGGAGGGAGGGAGCAGCCAGGATAGCTCTGTGGTCACCTCCTGCACATGGAGGTGAAGAGGCTGAGTAAGGCCCAAGAGACAGCTCCCTGGGAAACCGGGACCAACTGCCAGTGTTGGGATGGAAGGCCCCTGCCCCACTTACCACTGAGGAAGAGCTTCTCCAGTTTCTCCAGCAGCTGAGAACACTGATTCAGCTGCTCCTGGAAACCCTCAGCCACGCAGTGATCCACGTCGCTAGCCTGCAGCAACTCCTCAAACGCCTTCATCATGGTGTTCACATGCTGACGATAAATGACGCAGAGGCCATGGCCATCCTTAATCTGCCGTCGTTGAAGGGAGAGCTCCCTGGCTTGGGACTGAACTAATGAATCGTATCTGATAAAAGGAGGAAAAGAAAATGCTTGAACCATTTTAGAACTGAATTTTTGTGACCTTAACACTAATTGGAAAAATGACAGAGCACAATTTTTAAAAGCCTGCAGCTGTACAAGTGTATATATACACACTTTTAGAAAAATTGAAACTATACAAGGTCACTCCTTCTTCGATTTCAAAACAGCCAACAAATGCTGGAACAAAGGTTCTTCTGCAATATGTTTAACCTTATAACGCCCCCAATTAAAGTCCAGATTGGCAAAGACTCAGGAGGACAATTAGTTTCCATATACTCTTCAAAAATACTACTCCAAATTGTAGAAACAAGTGCCCCAAAGGGTCAGGAGACCCACCCACAAAAAAAGAAACCATAAGGCAGGGAAACAGAGGCAGGATCCCCTCAACTGAAAGGTCAGGGAACAATCAGATACCACTACCATTTATGGGGGTCTGTGACCCGTCCATCACTGAGACAGGGCTTTTAATAAGTCACCTGGTGCTCCTAAACTTCCACCAAATATAAGAACCCCACCCCCTTTTTCCAAATTGTTTATTGGGATAAAGTAGGTTGACCTCTTTGTATCTGCTCTGGGGTTACAGAGAACCTCCTCTTTTTCAGAAGAAACTGGATCTCAGAGATGGCAAGGCTAGCTCAGTGGTGAAGATGCCCAACTCAGGCCTGTCTTCGCCCTTCAGAGCCCAACCTGTAGCAGGCAGTGCCACCCTGGCACCCGGCCCTCCCCTGGGAGAGCCCCAAGTACTAGAAGGCCCCAAGAAAAACACAAGTTAAGAAGACATGGCTCGTGTAAACCACGACTCTGTAAGCGGGCTCCAGAGCAGCTCAGCAAAGATGCTGCTCTTCAGTTCGACCTGCTCCCCTTTCCCTGAAATAATGTCAGCATGTGAGGCCCAACATGCACACAGATGACGGGGCACTGGACAAAGGCGGGACCCGGCCGGCTCTGTGATTCTGCCTGGGAGAGTCTCGGCAGCCTCTTTGGGACTCAATTTCCTCATCTACAAAAACTTATTTAAGAACATCTCCTTTTAGGTGATTCTGAGGACTAAATATGGAAGTGCATAACTGAGGAGACATAACTGCCTTCGGATAAACGCGAGTTCCCTTCCCTGTCACTGTTCAGGGAGTCTTGAAAAATTCAGTCTGGCTGCTGATGTTCTGAGCAGTGTGTTTGTCTCAAATTAGTGATGAATGAAGGTGAACTTTACAAATGATCCCATTTTTGTCATATCTCATGAAGCGAAACTGTACATATCTATGCCCATAAAACATATCTTCATGACCTAAGACGCCTTCCCTTTCAACACAGGCTTATTTCTCTAAGATGACCTTAAAGGGCAAAGATATGGAAAATATTTATATTCTTCCCACCCCGCCTAGGACATCAGTTTCCATTCCCAAACACAATGAAAGCCAATAACAGGGCCCTGGAGTAAATACTGCCATTCAGCAAAGGAGCTATCACTCACAGTGTGACTGGTATAAAACCTTTACCCTGAGTCCCCAGCCTGATGGGGACAGAATCGCTCCGCCAGTTTCAGAGGACAAGATGAGTGTGGCCTCACACTCGTCTCCTCACAGGGCCTGGCTGCCTTACCCGGCCCTCAAGCCTTCTCTGGTGCACTGCCCACGGCTGGTGCAGCCGTCTGAGCTCATGGGCTCCTCCCCACTGGCAACACAGGGGGACTGCAGGTTTAAAAAGTGGGCGAAGGCAGAGGTGACTGACATGTACCTTGAGGGTGAGAGATCTTGGAACTTATTCTGCAGGTTATGGATTTCACTGAAAAGCTCCATGTTCAGATTCTGCTCCTTCTGCAGCTCACATTTCTGGTCTACTAGCTGTTGCTTAAGGCTCTCTGGCGTCCTGTCCTCAATCACCTCTGGGGCTAGCGGGTGGAGGATTTTCATGTGTTTCACATAACGTACTTGGTGAAGACTTGAAAAGGTCATTTCTTCCTTGTCAGTTCTGCCCTTGGGTTTGTTCAAGCCATCCTTGGACCCTTCCGTCCCACACAGTACTGTAATAATGGCCTCGCTGCACTGGGAGTGCTTTTGAAGCTGAAATAGGAAATTCCGGTAGCCTTCCAGTTCCATTTCCAAGTCACAGATTTTCTGTTTTAAGTTTCCTATGTCATTTGAGGTATTGATGTTCTCAAGCCGATCAGTCTCAATCTCACTAGCTTGACTGGAAAGCTGACTCTTCGAACACAAAGTAGTGACTGAAGCTGGGCCCAGGAAATCTTCAGAAGGATTCTCTTTACATGTGGCTGAGATGGTAAGGTCATCAGGCTGGTAAATTTCAGAGTCTGAAAATCAAACAGTCATGTCAGTATGTCCTTTGCTGAAATCCACCTCTCCCCAAAGTCACTGCCAAGCTGAGACCACAGCAAAAGCCTCCTAACAAGCCTCCCTGGTTCCAGCCCCTCCCGCTGACCTCTCAATCTACCCTCTTCTAGTAATTGAATTTAGCCATAACCAACCCCCCCTTCCACCCCACCTCAATAATCCAAACTCCCTCTCACATCATCTGAGATGCTCCATGACCTAGTTTCAGGCACCTTTTCAGAAATACCCACTGGTCCCACTCCTACAGATTCCCTATTAAATTACCCACAACTCCCTGCATACATAGACTGTTTCATGCCTCTGTGCCTTTGCATGTGCTGTTCCTCTGCCTAGAATACACTCCACCCTCCACTTTACTCCCAAGCACATAAGTCAACTGGTCCTTCAACACCAGTCAGATTTCCTTTCCTCTGTGAGCTCATCTCCAAACCACGCAAAACTGGCACTCCCCTCTGTGCTTCCACAGCGCCTCCTGCATGCTGCCTACAACAGATACACTCCATGCCAGGGGATTGTTTTGGAATTACTACTGGAGCTCTGTGTGCTTCTGTATTTGCTTACACAGCATCAGTTATGCAATTGCTCTCTCCCTCACTGGGCTGCAAGGCCTTTGCACGGGGACAGGTGTTTCACTGTCACGGTCTCAATGCCTGGCATGGCGTCTAAGTGCAGACCAGAAGTCAAGGAAGGTTGGTAAACACCGGGGCTAGGTGAGACAACAGGAAGGGTGGTCATTCTAAGTACCCACAACAGACGAGTCTTCTGATTTCCATGACTACCAGTCTCCGGAAGATGGGTGACATCCCCTATACTGAGTTGTATTCACAGCCCTTCTCGGAAATGCTTCCTTACAGTTAAGTTCCCAGAGATGCAACCATATCTGTTTGAGAGGTAGAGTAAGAATACATAGGTGGCTCTTAAACTAAAGGAATCATGGGAACATGGCTCTGCCACTTGCTGTCTACACAGACTTAGGCAAATTACTGCCCCAAGTGAGTCTCAGTCTCCCAGAAAGATGTCTAATATGGTTACAGTGGGGCTTCACCATGAGTTCAGAGCTTTTGCCCTCAAACACATATACCACACTGCCTCTGTCCAGAGAAACCTCAGCTCAATGTTAGTAAGTGGCTGAAAATTCAAGAGACAGCTGAATGTGGTAGAAAAACCCTTCTTTGTAAACAAAAGACCTGGTTTCAAACTGTACTGTCACTTCCTAGTTCATGACTTCGGACAAGTTACTTAAGCTCTCTGAAACTCAGGAGCTTCGTGTGCGTCAGGGCGAGAATACCGTTCATATAAGGATGTGTCTCTGTGTGGTGAGGATCACATGGAACAATATCTGCCACCAGGCTAAAAAGTATCTGGCATAGAGCCATGAAGGAACCCAACTAATATCAACATCTTTTGCATCTTTTGCTTCCCTAGAACTGTTCAAAGGCAGCAGATAGCCTACCACTGGGGGCATACAGATGAGGGCATGGTTATCACAGTTCAACTACCAGCTCTCAACCAGCAATGAGCAGGAAATGCAGGAAAAGCGGCAATGCGGGTGGGATGAGAAGACCTTGGGGATCCCTCAGAAAAGAAACAATACAAAAATTCCCTTTTCTGAGTTCTGCAACTGTTACCTGTGGCTCTGAATCCATTCTTGTCTCTTCACAGAATACAGACCCGCCATGGCCAACTGCCAGTTGCCTGAGGGCAGGCACCCTGCCTGTCCAGGTGACCCACTAGCACCCAGTCCACCGCTTGGGAGAAAAGTGTGTGGCAAGTGGACCAATAAGCTCAGAGAGACATCCTCCTGTCTCCTGACTCATCCTACTTACTAGCTAGGTGACCCTGGATCAATTCTTTTTAAAAACCTCAGTTCCCTCATGTGTTAATTGGGAACAGTGATGACACCCTAACTTGGGTGTTGCAGGGCTTAGCAATAACTTCATGTACACCCTCCCAAATAGGGCCTGCACACAGAGCTGCTCAGGACACACAGGGGCTGAATTCTGACCCATCTCAGAGCTTGTCTGCTGATCAATATCCCTTTCCTTGTCTGTCCAGACACAGGGCGTGGCTTTACTTCCTTTCTGCTCTCCCGGGCCATCCTGGTAGGCTGTTCCCACAAAGGGCTGGGCTAAAGAATTCAGAAAGAGAAAGAAACATAAATAAAACCATAGACTTGAAACTTAGCCAGGCAACTGAGAAGAACACAAAGATACAACAGGGAAAATAAAAACACAGGGGAGGCAAAATGCAATTTATAAGATAAAATTAATCTATCGAGCTGCCATAACAGGACATAAAAAGCATAAATATACTGTAGCTTGTCTGAAATGGTTTAAGTCAAGGCTCTCAAAAAACTATGAGTGAGAAAATGAATTCTATAGACTTGTGTCCACTTTTCTCAAGAAGAGAGAGGCTCCAGGGTCTTCTGGGCAACTGCGGAAGTACCACCTGGTTGAGGCATCTTAGGGTGTCAGCAAGAATTAAAAACAGTTACGAGCAAACAGCAAGCCTGGGGCAAAATGCCAAGGCCTCTGTTGGGCTGTATCACCTCTGCCATAAAATCTTTGCTCTCTGAAATCTCCCACTATTCCTGTCTCGTACTGATCTGTTAAATTATCTCCCCTCCACCCCATCAGACAGGGCAACCTGAAAAAGCAGAGGCTGCCTCTCATTCAGCTCTCTCTCCTATACACAGCAAAGGGTCTGGGAGCACAGCGGGTGCTCAGGAGTACTCAATGAATGTTTGATTAGGTGCCTGGATGGAGGAGAATGGATTAAGAGAAGGTGAGGAAGGAGGGAAGAGCAATCCCACCAAAGGCCAACTTATTTTGAAACCCCAACTATGGTCAACCTCAAAGAGAACCTAAAATTAAATGGGAAACACCTCTGGCTACAGATCATAATAAACCTGTACATGAAGCACTGCATACTAGGCTTCAGGACACAGTAAAGGGGCAAGCTCTGAAATCAGGCCTGTGGGTTCCAGTGGAGCGCTAGGAATTGGTATCAGTGTCACTCTGCCAGTCATTGGATCCCTGGAACTGCTGCCTCAATGATCAAACAGGAATATCATTGTACCTGTCCCCAAGGACTGTCAGGAGGACTCCAACAGAATAGCCCCTGTATTTAAAGTGGATAGTGAGGCTCAGTGAATAATAGGTGGTTATTTTATTACTGCCACAGGAAGTCCAAAGCTGACAGTCATCTCCCCTCCCCAAAGCACTCTGAAAACCCCCTGATCAGATGCAATCTCCCACGCCCATATACAAACCCTTCATTGGCCATTCCCAACCGACCTCAATCTCCTCCCTAACCCTTGCCCTCACCCCCTAGTTTAAGGATGCCTTAGAGCAGTACTTGGCACACAGGACAAGTTAATACACGCTTTCTGCACCAATAAATAAAAGACCGCTGTTGCTGTTCTTGTTATTGTGCTGCAGCCGCTTGCTTACAATAGCAATTCAAAACCAGAAGTCAAGAGAGATACTTTGTGAATTCACGGATCCTGTGAAAATGATGGTCACATTACATATGTGCTTCCCTGCCTTGTTCTGAGATTTCCTCAGATTCCGAGAGGGGCAGAGTCCAAAATCCGTCTGCATGAGAAGATGCCACTGAGGTCTCTCTATAAGCCCAGGGAGTCTAGGCCTGACAATGGCCTCTAGGTGGGAGGGAGGCTGGTCACTTCAGAGCAAGACATGAGGTGAAGAGGGTATGGAATTATACCTGACAAGCCCAAGTAAATGTGGCCTGGACATTCCAGAGAATCCTACAAACAGGGCTATTTTGCATACCTCCATACCTCTCGCCTGAGGTTGTCATGGATGAAGCCAGGAAAAAAGCTCAATTAAAACCATCCCACAGAATCCTACACGAAGGGAGCAGTGACCTCCAAGACCTCCAAGCACCACAAGCCCCCTTCACCCAGACTCCACAATAAAATAAAAACAATAACTGTGTTGTCCTTATTGTGCTCCCACAATTGTGTTTCTCAAGCGTCAAGATTAATCACAGCAATTCATGAAATTTATATTCAAACTCATTGCAATTCTAAACAACAAGGCTGACATTTCAAGCAGTTCGAGCGGGTCGTTCATCTAGTTCAGGGAGAAGACATTTTCCTTGGTGCTTACCATTCAGTAGCATTTTGTCTGGCGTTGGTCTTCCCTCCATCACTGCTTCAGCCAGAATTAACTTTTGGTGAAGTTGCTTATTGCGAATTTTCAATTCTGTCAGCTCCTCCTGCAGATCCAAGATCTGGCCCTGCAGCTGGACCACCACCTTCTGCGTGACAGGGAGCTGAGACACACTTCTTAACGACTGGGATGGTTTTAAAAGGATGGGCAAGCGGGACTTCTTTGCATCCTGAAAACACATGTACGCAACAGTGAATACACGACTTGGGTTGCACAGGCAATGTGCTCACGCCAATCTCATACACACTTCACACTGCTGTCCAGATGTCTGGTTCCTCTGATGGCACCTATGTTTATCCCCCAGCCGACAGAGTCGGTGCCTTGGCAGTCGCTCCTCTGATTGATAAGTGCCAAGTGTTTCCTCCTTGACACCCTCTTGGCCCTGGCCCACTGTCTCTCTGGACAATCCAGATGCTAACAGATGGCAGTCCTTTACCCCACAGTCTTATGGGAAGCATTTCCTTGTTCCTTGTTTATTTCCTCATTTCCCACCCATTCCTCAATCTAAGCCAACCTGCCTCCTGCCCCTGCCAGAGCACCAGCATCAGCCCTTACTGGAGTTTTCAGTGGCTACAGGTTATTTCCCAGTCACAGAGATTCCGACCTGCCTACCTTCATGTTTGATGGCTCACAGGCACTCCGAAGTCAGCTGAAAACTCAGCTCTTCAATCCCATGACACCATGTGACCACCCAAGAGCTACACCACTTCAGCAATCTCTATCTTGCTCAATCACACCACCAGTCACTTACTGTACAACCCCAAAACTTGGGAGCCTTTTTTTAGTAAATCGAAGTAGTAGTGGATGGCATTATATAATCAACATCTGTAACAGTACACTTCAGTTAACCCCCAAAAGTCCAGTGCCATCCTTCACCATATAGTGCCCCTTTTACATGATCTACTGATACCCACCCACACCCCCCACCTTTACTTCTGGTAACCACTCATTGGTCTTCAAGTCCAAAAGTTCATTTTTGTTTTATTTAGATCATACATGTGTTTGTTGTCTCTATATACCATACATGCGTGATCTCACACTGTCTTTCACTGTGCACTATTCCCTCCAGGTTCATCCCTGTCGCTGCAAATGGCAGGATTTCATCTTTTTTAAATAAGTGAGTAGTATCCCAGTGTGGACATTATATACCATATCTTCCTTATCCATTTGTCAGTGGGCATTTAGGTTGTTTCCAGCCGTTGGTTATTATAAAAAAAAAGTTGCAATAAACATGAAGGTGCATGTATATCTTTGAATTAGTGTTTTGGTGGTAAATGCCCCAAAGTGGGATAACTGAACCATGTAGAATTTCTATTTTAAAATGTATGAGGCATTTCCATACTACTTTCCATAACGGCTACACCCATTGACACCAGCACTATAGGGTGCCCTTCTCTCCACATAAACTTGCTGTTCCTCGTCTTCTGGATAACAGTTATTTTCATAGGTGAGAGGTGGTATCTCACAGTGGCTTTGATTTGCATTTCCCTAGTAATAAAGGATGATGAGCCTTCTTCACGTGCCTGGAGGCATCTGTAGGTCTTCTCTACGTAAGTGTCTACTTAGACATTTTTTAATCATTTTTTTTTTTTGCTGTTGTTGAGTTTTATGAATTCCTCATATATTGTGGGCAGCGACCTTTTGTTGAACATACACTATACAAATATCTTCTCCCATTCAGTAGGATGTCTTTCCATTTTGATGCATGTTTCTTTTGCTTTTACAGATGCTTGTAATCTGGTGGAGGCCCATTTGTTTATTTTTACTTTTGTTTGGGACCCACACATTGTTGAATAAATGTAAACTAACAATTCCAATCCTAGGAATATACCCAAGAGAAATGGAAAATAAAAATATATATATACACATACGTCAAAACTTTACATGAATATTCATAGCAACACTATTCATAACAAAGGTAGAAACAGCCTAAATGTCCATCAACTAATTAATGTATGGATAAAATATGGTCATCGCTATCATAAAAATGCAGTTAAGTACCAACACACACAACAGCACAGATGAACCCTGAAAACACACTAGGTGGAGAAAGTCAACCATCAAAGAGCAACTATTCTGTGATTCCACCAAAACAAAACATACCGACTAAGCAAATCTCTAAAGACAAAAGGGGACTGGCTAGGGTGGGCAGGAGAAGGGAAGAAGAAGTGACTGCTGTCTCTCTGGGCTAATGAGCACGTTCTACAGCTGACTGTGGGAATGGTGGCACAAGTCTAGAAACATGTTTAAAAACCACCATGCTGTACACTTTAAATGGATAAATTGTATGAAATGTGAATTGCACCTCAATAACCTTGTTATTAAAAGACTTTTTTTTTAAGTGAAGGAGAATGAACTTGCAAGGAAAATAGGAAATATCTGGGACTCTGAGGAGGTCAAGTTCTGTCAAGAAGGAAACTAGAGGAGGGATCCCTTCTTGCATGCTCTAGAATGTAAAATGCTTTCAAGCACATTCTCCTATAATCCTTAGAAATTCTGATTCTCAAAATTCACAGAATAATGGAAGTTACTGTGGGTATTTTCCAGACAAAGAGAGAACTGAGGCGACAAACCACAGGTCCAATGCCATACGCTAGGGAGGTGAAAGAACTGGACCTCATACTAACTCTTCAGGATGCACTGCTCAATTCGGGGAGACCCTTTCTGTCCTGAAATCCCAGAGAAGGAGGGAACAAATTCAAGGACAAGAACAATTGGAGATGCTGAAAGGGACCACTTGGGAGGAAGTGGGTGCTTCATAAAGAGAGCTGGAAAATCGGGCTCCACCGATCTTTATTCTTGGAACCAAGTGTGTGTGTCATATGGCAACAGAAGCAATATCTGCAAGTGCGCAAATGCCAAAGCCAACTGCAGGCTGGAAGTCGCCGTCAGTCAACCTAATGGGTTCGAAAATAACACCACACAAAATGCTACCTTCTGGACACCAAGCAGCCATACCTACCACCTTGTTAAAGGTGTCATAATGTGGAATAAAAGGGACAGGAGCACACAGGCACTCAGCTCCTAGCCAGGTACAAGTCACTGCCTGTCACATGTCACCTTACATCCTGTCACACCAGTCTCAGGTTCTAGGTCACATGGATCCTATGAGAGCTACTGACAGGGTCAGGTGACCTAAGAAAGCAATAAGTAGTAAGTAGCGAGGTCTGACGCAAGCACTGAGCATCTGGAAAGCCCATCTTCTCACCTCTGTCACTGAGAAACCAGACGTCAATCCGGTCTCCTTTCTGTACCCCTGGCTGTGGTAACATTCTTGTTAACAGGTCCCCAGAGTTCTGGCTTAAGTTCTAAGATGACTTATCCCTTGACTAGCCATAAGGAAAAGCATTGATTCTCTTCTGCTTCCCACAGAATAGAGACCACAGTGGTGCTCGGAGGGCTCCTCCCTTCCTGAGAGGGGCAGTTTTGTAATATCCCTGTCTGCCCTACAGCCAGCCTTCAGCACGCATCCTCGCTACTCTCTTAACAGCTGAGTCACTTTGGACAATTTTCTGAACCTTCCAGAGCCTGCATTTCTCTGTATGTGCAATGTCAGTAATACCAAGCTAACCCATACACTTTGGAGGAGATGAAATGTGCTACTACATGCGCAGAATGTCTAGCACCACCCTTGGCACATAATGCAGATGCTAAGAAGTAAGTAGATTCCTCCCTTTGAAAGCACAAAGGAAAAGGACAATTTCAAATGAAAAGGGGGAAAATTTCAATATATTTGGGGAAAGTAAGTTATTCAATTATCCAATTTTTCTGAGCATAAGATGATACCGCCATAAAAATAGAAAAAGTAAGTAAATAAAACACCACAAGACATCTAGATTTCCTAATATACAGGTACAAACTAAAGGAGCTGGGGCAGATGAGAACATTTCTATTCTAACCAAATTACATGAATTTGCATGTCGAGTATCATTAATATAATAGCAGTGTCTTCTTCTTCCCTTTTTTTTTTTTTTTTGTCTCTACTGATATCTTTAGAAACCCCTTCTCTAGAAATTACAGTTTTGGTGCATAATTTAAAACAATCAAAAGCAATTTTGCTAATGATATATCTAACTCTCTTTGGTATGTACAAAAGCAGTAATTTACTGGTCAGAAAATAAACTTAATTCTCCATTCTGATGCTATGAAGCAGTGTGTATGGTGGATTTCCTGATACGAAACACCCATCAGAAACAAGAATACCAAGAGCCATCACTTGAGCTCAGTTAGAAACACGGCCCACTTCCTTCTCTGCCAAAACCATCTCTCTGCTCCCTGTAAAGCCCAAAGCTTCGAACCAATCAAACATACCAAGAGGGTCTGGCTCTTAATAATCTGGCATGGTTGATGAGGAGCTGAGAAAACAGCATCGTGACTGAAGTAACTAGACCCCACCGCCACAGGCTGCAGGGGAGCTTGTCAAGGAACAGGGCCTGGCTGTCCAGTGAGGCACAGTGAGGGTCCCTGTCCAGCTCCTTAATCACTGCTTAACTTTGGGTGCTGGGATCTGGCCTCCTCACCCTTGACAGGTATTGTGAGGACAAGCGAATACAGAAAAAGTCCTACCTCTCAGACACAAAGATGGCACAAACACCACCGAGGTTCTCGGCCAACCCCTCAAATCAGGTTATGGCAACATTACTACAACATGCAAAAGTAAATGTCTACGAACAAGAGAAAGCATTTCAACATTGGCATGTCCTCCATGAAGGCATCAGCACAACCACCACAAAGGACGGCGTTCCTGATACGTGACATAGAGGAGAAAAAGCTAGAGAGAGATGCATGCGCATGAGTCCGTTTTTACAAGGAAAATGCATAAACATATAAACGTCACGGATCAGTGAGTTAGGGCTGGGACAGGAGAAGAGAGAGCGAAGCGGAAAATGTTAGTGATACTTTGGGGAAAGTCAGGATGAACACACACCTCTAGGAAGAGTCTAGGAAAACTACAGGGAGCGGGAGATACTGAAATTCACAGAAATAAATTAAAAAAGAAAAAAAGCAGTAAAAATAAGTACGTGGGTAAACTTACTTTGTTCGTCCCACTGGGGCAAGGAAAGGGAGCCGCCGGCCGCCCCAGCATCCTGATCGATGTCTCTGGCTGATGCTCAGCGCTGAACACGGCGTCCGGGGCTTTCTCCTCCCAAGCCTCTCTCCTGCCCACGTGTTGGAAGGGCAGCGTGTCACCCTCTGTGGCCACGGTCTGCACTGAGGCATCCTTCAGTTCCACACGGGACGCCTCACCCACCTTTGGTAGCTGGCCTCCACAAGGCAACTTCAGTTCATCACGTGGCTCAGAAAATGAGCCAGCGTGGAGGGAATGTCTCAGTTTACCTCTTAGCTCAACAGCCACTGACTCGTCAGCTTTACCATCAAGTTGTTCTCCAGAAACTTTCTGCTCTATCATGCGCAGTCGTTCCAGAAGCAGTTCACGCAGCACTTTCAGAATGTCTGGCCTGTTTTTCCAAAAGGGAAGGAAAGGAGAGAACTAAGCTTTCTGCTACCGCCTATCCCCAACCCAATTCCTTGCTTGGCTTCTGTCTAAACTTCATGGTGAGCACGTGCTACACCAATGCCATGCCAAGTTCTACATCCCATGTCATCTCATGACACCATGCCTGTCCCATGAGTAAGACAAGGAGAATTGACAGGACATAGACGCACAGTAAGTGAGGGGGCCACCTGGCTCTAAGATGCAGGCTGGGCCTAGAAGCAGCAAACTGGGCTATAAGGTGTCACTGATCACGGCATGGTCCACCACCCTCCTAAATCTAGGAGGAAGTATGGCTTTACATGAACCTGGCCACATTGGCAGATCCATCAGTGACCTGGTCCATCGTGGTACACAATCAATGCCCACTGAACAGGTAGGTGCCAAGTGAGGGGTGCTGTGACCAGGCAAGTGAGAAAAGGCAACATCTTTGAAATCAGACCAAAGGGCTTTAAATTTTAACTCTGCAATTCCCTGAGAGATAAGGCTTCCTCCACGGGACAGCCACCAGGGTAAAGGGAAGGGCAGGTGCTCCTCACATGCCACAGGCCTTGGTTCCCAGTTCAGCTGTGGCTATGGGCAGCTCCTGAGACACAGTCTGGCTGCAATTACCTGGCACCTCTCTGCTGTCTTGGGGCTTCTTCCAGAGCCCCATGAGCAAGGCAGCAGGACAGTGGGGACATGTGGAAGAACTGCCATGCAGGGCACAGAGAGGGTGAGCAAGCACAGGGCTATGAACACAGCCAGCCAAGCCTGCAACAAAGCCCATGGTTACCACAGGCAACAAGAGAGAATGTGCACCAAAGAAAATGTAATGAAGCCATCTGAAGGAGACTCTAAGATAAGTTTGTTTAAATCATCTGAGAAATAATGGGGAAAACGAAGCTCATTTAATAAAAAAGAAAAAGTTCTGACAGGGACTGGAGGGGCAAGCACAGAGGCTGACCAGGTGGGAGGCCATGGCGACCCTCCAGGGAGAAGCAGCAGCAGGTCTGGACGAGGTGGGGTCATCACAGAGAGAAGGTTCGAACAGACCCTAATGATGTTAGATCCTTGTTTTGTGTGCAGTTTCCCCAGGCTGTCTTACTTAAAGCAGCAGCCTTGTCAGACAGTGAGAGAGGCCTCCTCCCACGTCTTTAACCACCTTGCCCTTCCCTTCCTCAGCATCTCTGCTCCCGCGGACCTGGCTTCATCTTCCACAGCCCTCTGGGCCAGGGCAAGGCCTTGCTCCTATCGGCCTTCCTATCATCAAGCTCAGGATAGTCAATTCAATTCAAATTAAACCACCACAGCTCACTGAGATAGGGTAAAAAATAAAAGTATAAAAATCAAAATTAAAATGGATGGTACATGCTTCACTTCTAAAATGGAATCATCCAGACTACACAAACCATCTTAAAATTTAGCAAACCCCGACTTTAAAAATATTTCTGGCACTTCAAGCATGTTAAACTAAATTTTCCTTTCCTCTCCTTCCCTTAATTTAGATTAAAAGTAATGACAATTGCTATCTAGCTAGCCAGAAGAGGACCATTATTCACTACCAAACAACACACAATAAAACTCAGGAAAAAGACTTTACAAATGGGTAGTAAAAGGTGGTGAAGGAGGCCATTATAATATATTAAAGTGGGGGTGCTATTAAATAAAACATTTCAAATGTTACTTTGCTAGAAATCCAAGCAGCAGATCCATTAAGTAGGTGCCATAATCTTTTTAATGGTTCAGTCCAAAAGTCTGGTCTGAGGCCCAGACATTGTTTAGATACCCTTCCCGAGCATCTCTGCCACATAAAAGATAGAAGGGGAAAGACAATGACGGTATGAAGCTTCACAGTCTGTACAGACACTCTGAACACATTCAAACTGAGATGGGGTCTAATGTTAACTCCACTTTACAGGGCTTGTAAAGATTCAAGAACCCCAGCAAAGTGGCAGAGCAAAGACTGGAGCCCAGACCTTCCTGACCCCAAAGAAGCCTGGCACTGTGCCAGTTTTCTGAACTTGCCTTTGGCCGTGACGGTGAGCTTTCAACCATCACATATTCACCCACTGGGGGACTACCATTTGTCATGTACGGACATGGAAATGCATGGTGAAAAGTATCCAGGAGCTTACATTTCATAGAGGAGGAGCCAGACATGCACAGATCACTTAAAACTATATCAGACAAAAGTAAGGCAATGGGCAGGCCTATGGGTCGAGGGTGGCTAGGAGGGAGTTCCGAGACCAGGTGTTTCCCTTCAGACAGTCGTCAGGAAGGGCATCGCCACAGAGCTGACACCAGCTGAGACACTACCAGTCACAGGTACATGTAGGAAAAGAGTAGGTGGAGGGAACAGCTCCTGCAAAGCCCCTGCTGTGACAACAAGCTTGAATGTCTGAGGTACAGAAAGGAGGCCAGTGTGGCTAATGAACAAAGAGGCGCAGACATTGAAGACAGAAACGGCAAGGCCAAGATGCTACAATCACACTAACGCGAGGGAAATCCGCTGGAGGGTTTTACACAGGAAGAGACAGGCCCTCAGGTTTTAAAGGTCACTCCAGCTGCTCCGCAGAGAAGCAGAGGGTAGCCATAGAGATGAGAAGTGTGCCAGGATGTGTTCTGGAGATGGGATCAATAGGACTTGCTTATGGAAAGGGGAGGGTGTGGAAACTAGACTTTCAGCTACAGCAATTAGGTAGAAAGCAGTGCAATTAAATGACGTGAGAGAAAAGTGAAGACACAGATTAGAACAGGGAGCTGGGTTTTAAACAGATCTACACCAGAGTCTCTTAGACATGCAGGTGGAGCTGTCAAGCAGAGAGCAGGCTGTATGATCTGGAGGGAGGTCTGGGCTGTCAGTAAGTCACCCCACATACCCTAAAGCCATGGGGGAGTAAGAGATAAAAAGAGGGCTGAGAACACAGCCCCTGGGACACTCTAACATTCCCCATCTAGCAAAGGAAGGGGACGAGCAAAGAGACCAGGAGGAGGCACCCGTGACATGGGGAGAAGGGAACCGGGAGGGGGCAGTGAGGTTGGCCAGGTGCTGCCGGCAAGGCTGACACAGGCCACCTAATTTCACAAACTGGGAATTGTCACTGACCTTGACAGTGGAGTGAAGGGTATGTAAGCACTTGAAATGGGACAAAGAGAGGAGGAGAAAAGAAAATGGATAGAGTGAATAACAGGCAATTCTTCTAAGAAATTGTGCCTTTAAGGGGAATAAAGAAATGGGACAGTAGCTGGAGCAAATGTGAAAATAGAGAGCAGGGGGAACTCTACCCAAATGGTTGACATTAAAACATATCCTGCGCTAATGGCAATGATTCAGAGACAGGAAAAAACTAATGATGCAGAGAAGAGAGGGGGCCGAGAGGGTAGGAAGTAAATCAAGGAGAGGGCAGATCTTGGGTGCGAGCAGGGACGCCTCTTCCCTCCCACAGTGAGAAAGCCAGCGTCTGTGGGTATTGAGGCAGAGGCCAGGGGACTGGCAGGGAAAGTGGAGTCCTTCGAGTTCAACTGTTTCTGTTTTCCAGATACACGAGGCAGAGAGGGGAGAAGAGAAGCTGCAAAATTGTCTTGTGCTGGGCAGCGCTAAAGTGCTCATCTTGTAATCAGTGATGATAAATACAAGGTACGACCTGTCCAACAATTACACTTAACTGAGTAGCTGACCAGGTCAAGGTCTGGAGGAAGGGCTGGCAGGGACAGTGAACAGGGTTCACCTCTGCCTGGGGAGGGGGTGTGCACCGGCAACAGCAGCCGGCAGGGTTATTCAGAGGAACCAGCATGGCCGGAGGCTCCAAAACAAGAAAGTAATTGGCTGATTCTAGGAAGGAGAAGGGCAGTGCGACCAGAGCTCAGAAAAGCAAGGCAGACAGGCTATGTGAAGAGAGTGAAGGAGAGGGCTGCCACGTCGGCAGGGCCTAGTGGGCCATACTAAGAATTCTGATTCCAAGGAAGTGGAGAGTCTTGAGTGTTGAGTGGAGTGACAGGACTGCATATGTACAAATTTCTCCGGAAGCAGTGGTGAAAACAGACTGGGAGTGAGAAGGATGCTTGCAGGGGACCAGTTAGGAGGTTACTGATGTGAAGACAAATTAAAAATGAGATAGAAGCTAGGAATGGGCAGGAGGCAACAGGGAAGACAAGTGGTACATAATCAAGAGCCCGTAATGAAGGGTATAATTATGAGCTATTTAGAAAGCACAATGATCAGGATGTAGGTTTGGGAGGTGAAAAAAAGAGGAGAGTCAAGAGAACCCTGGGTTTCTGGGGCCCCATCTAGAAACCCACAGATCCAGTCCCTCGATACCATGGATTCTATCTTTAAGCACTTGCTGAGTCTTCTCCCCGCGGTCTACGTGCCAAGTCTGTTCAGAGAAGGTGCCATTTCTCTCCTAGCTTCTCTGGACCCCTCTCCAGCACCATGCTCTGGTGGCACTTCACCCACCTGTCCCTCAGTCACACACAGAAAACCAGACTCAGATCTTCTGAGAGTAAATCTCCCTACTTCTATTAGAGCTCAAGAACATATTAGGCTTAAAAGCAGTCCCCAAGGGCTCCCCTTAGATTTTACATTTATTTAACTATCAAATTTCACACCTAATTTTAGGCTATAAAGACCAAAATATTTAGGTGATAAGTCCTAAATCATGTCCTCTAGGGAAGGGGGAGAAGAAGGAACTGGGAGTAGAGAGAGGGAGGGCTCAGGATTCACATGCAATGTGAAGGGCGGGGCAGGGAAGTCCCATCTCCACAAGCCAGGTAGGGGCCTTAGTGACCCCTTCATCCACCTCCAACAAAGAAGTTGATCTGATTGGTCAAGTGCAAGTCGACTAATCAGGCTAAGGTAACCAGTGGGTAAGTTGCTTCCTTATCCATCATAGCAGAGGGGCGAGTGGAATCAGAATTGCTTCTGAGGCTGACTGCTCTGCCAGCCTACAGACCCCTGGGTGGATGGCTGGAAGGTGGAAAGGCCTCAGGCCCCTGTCTATCAGAGCACAGCACTGGGTCATCATACAGCGACCAGTGCAGCAACAAATAAGTGACTCACCAGGCCCTGCCTATGATGGGAATACTACTTGAGGTTTGTGGGAAAGAACAGAAGCAGCCAGCAGGGTATAATTTAAGCTGCAATATCACCGAAATCCCCAGTAACTACTAACCTGGATCTACACTTTACACCCAGTACTTCACTGAGTCCTTACCAAATCCCTGTGGAGAGACAAGTAACCTCATCCCCATGTCACAGGAGGCCAGATGGAGAGATACGTCACAAGTCTCCATAAACGGTATGGCTAGGGCGGGAAGACACATCTGGCTGACTCCAAAGCTCTGATTTTTCCAGTGTTCCAAATACACCTCCTGGAGGGAGTTCCCAGGCAGAAGAACGGCATGTCTCCAACCAATCAAACTCCTGGTTACCCCCGGGGAATCTATTTAAATACTCCTCTAGAAAGCTCCCCAATGGCTCCACCGTTTTATTGGGCTGTTGGAAAAGTCATCACACATTTTTGCTGGAAAAACAGAAAAAATATGTCATGACTTTTTCAACAACCCAATACTTACTAGCTTGGGGAATGTCAAGTTCCCAAATGTCAGTGTTTGTAAAAAGAGGGATCACAACCAGCAGCATGCAAAGCAGGTGTGAGGCAGAATGAGACTGGGCATGTGAAGTATGCATCTGGGCCCTGGCAAGAGTAGGTGCTGAAAAGGGGTGCAGACCTGGTGGGGCCCCGCTGACTGCACTGGCATGAAGTTCTGTGGTGCATGCTGAGTGATAGCACAGTGCCCGTGTTGGGGCAGTAGGTTGGAGCTGGTTGAGGAGGCCTTTTCTAATGCGGGACTGGGCAGCGAGGGCCTGGAGGCGATGGCACGGCCAGTGAGGGAGAGGCCAGCAAATGGCAGCTGTCACAAGGTTTGCTGCAGGATGGTGGCCTAAATTCGGTCTAAATTTTTAACAATCAAGAGAGAGAACACATGCTTGAACAGCTACTGCCGACATGCAGATCTGAGCCCACATGCTTGCGTGACCAATGACGAATTGGGGCTAAAACGCTTCTGTCACTGAAAGGATGCACGGACCTCACTTAGCACACTCTCGAAGAGTTTTCCAGGTGGTCTTCAGAGAGACAGCAGACCTTTGGTCTCAACTGTCACATCTGGGACCCTGAAGTCAAGGGAGGCCTCCCCTTCTCCAGCATCTACTAAGGTCACTTAACTTCCTATGATAATAAACCAGAACAGCCACTGAGCTCATCCCCTGAGATGACTCAGGCTACAAAAACTGTGAGACAGATGCCAGAGATGGAGGGGTGAGCCACCAAGAGTGCAAAAAAAAAAAAAAAAAAAACCAAAGCAAACAAAAAAAAAACGGCTGCTCTACTCCCTTTTCTCAGCCGGAGAAATCTCTCTGTGGCTTAGTCCGCCAATGGCAGAATAAATACTAGGGACCCAGGCACTTGCCAGGAGTCTGGGCAATAGTTAGTGGCTCCACTTCTGTCTCTCGACAGGAAGAGATCTGGGACACACACCTCAGACCTTTCCTCCTCACAGCAGCCCTAAGAAGTGATCAGAGCAGCACAGGTACCCAGAGGGGCAGGCACAGCTCTTTTTGGCTCCAAAGCCCAGGCAGCTATCCTGATGGACTTCAAAGAAGGTGAAGGGGGGAAATTCTGCTCCTAAACAAGAAATTTTAAAAATGCAAATGTGTTGAATGCTTCTCCTTTTTTGTTTTAAGAAAACACTTGTGGCATTTCCTCACACAGGAAGACACCCAGCAGATATAATGAGAATTTTCACTCAAACTCAACATGAAACAGCAGAGTCACAGCTACAACAGTAGTTTTTAAGTTGTTGGAGAAACTGGAAGTGATTTTGGTAGGTCTAATCCCTCTTACTGACAGCCAGTCCTTTCTGAGGCCCCCAGGAACCAATGTAAAGGGAAGCTCGCTTCCTCCTCTTTATAACGGGTGAGCATGAGGCTTCACTGACATCCCCTCACGGCCACCAGCATGCAGCCTAATTCCTTAATTGCAAGACTGGCAAGATTCCTTCCAAGCCATTTCAGGAGTTCTCTCTGGTAAATTACACAGCACCATCGTCTAAATCCATTTAGCAAAATGAGTCTGTTTTCCCCTCAAAATAGAGAGGCAGAGCAAGGCCCGGGCTACATCTACCTGGATTCCAGTAACACCGCGGCCTTCTCATTGAAGAAAGGGGCAAGCAGGCTGAGGAGCTCGCCTTCTTCTAGACTCTGGTCTCCAGGGCAGCCAGGCGTGGGGTTTCCCTCGTGGTTTACAATACTGGAATCTGTGTGCCTTAAATATCCATTTTTGCAGCCCGCTTTGGATTGGTCCTCCATTATCTAAAAAAATCAAGCATTTGGTCAAATCATGAGCCATGGAGGAGAGTACGGGGTACGTGGAGGAGAAAGGACAGAAACAGAATGAACAGGTGAGGGCAAGTCAGGCAGAGAACACGAAGAGGGACAGCGTGGGGAGGGTGCAGAGGGGCGGTCCACACACACTTCCGGGCAGGGAGAAGCTCCAGCAGGCCTAAGGCCATTCACATCATTTCTCCTCATGCTCAGTTTCTCGTCTATAAAATGGGGGCTGTGAGCAACCTCATATATGTTGGTGTACAGTTTCTTACCCCTACAGGCATGTGGCCCCAACCCACGGCCTACTCTTCAATCCTAAGAAGGATAGGGAGCCCAAGCCATGAACAATGTTGTTGACACTTATTATACACTTCATGCAAAGCATCCTCCTCATTATACATCAGAAACTGACTTACTCTTTACAGACACATCCTAATTAACATGGCTTTGATTTGTCTCATTAGGAAGGTGGAGAGATTCTAATTCCTATGGAAATGTTATGTACGGTCCCGCCTTCTCGGGTCACCTGGGGTCCCAGTGGAGGGTACCAAGGATGCAGCCAGTTAAAGCCTGTATTGGGCATGTCTTGAGGTGCTGTAATTAGCATTCCTACTCCCCCTTTTCAGAGCTGTAAATTTCTCCTACGAGTCTATAAATAACACTCCTTGACTTCATTACTGCTGGTGATATATACAACTAGCCATCACACCCCTCTCTCCACACTTGTAAAATGATTAAGATTTTTAAATGGAAGATAAGACCCACACAAATGAGTATTTATAGGGAACTGTTTGCCAATCGAGTTACTAAATCCATCTAAATAAGCAACCTCCAAAGGAGGAAATGTCTAGGATATAGTAATAAAAATACTAATGGCTAGCATTTGCTATTTATTCTCTACCTTTCTATTTAAATATCACAGCTATTGTAAAAGGAGTGTTACTATCTTCACTGATAGGGAAACTCAGGCCGAGGGGTTAAGCAAAGGCTAACCAGAGTCACAGAAATTGTGACCAAGACTCAAAAAGAGATTCCAAAGCTCCCACTTTTAATTGCTTTGCTCTCCAAAACTATCTGTATTTTAATGCTCTCCCATTCATGACTCCAGGAACTTAAACACCTCGAAGGCCACAAATGCCAAATCTACTGTCTGCTATCGCCCACCAATCTGGGATGTTTGCTCCAAATGTTCAGGATCAGTGGAGGACTCAGTGTGAACCACGTCAAAATCTCCTCAATCCCCAGATGACACCGAGCTGGGCTCCAGGGCAGGACACACCAGAGATGCCAAGGAGGGGGGTTGCATCCTTAATTGGCCCCTTACGCTGCAATCCACTGACCAGTGATTTCACGGCAACCCACAGGGACGGGCTCTCCTCCTAATTCTGTCACCAGCTTACTGTGTGCCTGAATAAATCATCTCCCTCACAGGCCCCAGTTTCCAATGCATAGAAAGACTGGGTTGGGTCAGATCTCTAAAGACCTGTTAAGGTGCAACATATGATACGTGCCATTCTCCTACACCTGCCCTGTTGTTATTTGCAACTGGGTGTGCATTCTCCTGTATGAACGGTTCTCCCACTCAACCTCGGAGAGGGAAGTGCCTGAGTGTCTTTGCTCTGCACTGGGACACAGTACAGCAGAATGAGAAGAAACCCATCAGACTCATTCCAGAGGGGAGACCTGGGCCCCTGGGGGGGAGGGGGGTGATAAGTAGATAACTGCCATGTTCCTACCTTGTCACTCTGCTCCAAAGACCGGTCACTCAGGAACTTATTCTCGTCATCCTCTCCAATTCTGATCGTGTCCTTGTCCTCCTTGCTAGCCAGAAGCTACATGAAGCATGGAATGGTGTGAAAATGCAACCCAAAAAAGTGTGCAGCATGAATATGTATGAATAAGTCAGTGATGTCTTTTTTCAAAAACGCAAAACAAAAAAACAAACCAAAAAAAGAGGCAGAAATAAATGCCAAAGCCATGAAATAAAAATTAGCCAAAGTTAGAGTTGCTAGTTCCAACACATCACACACAGCTGCCTGGGACCAGGCATAATTTAAGGACAAATTCCCCAAGAAATAACTAAAGCCATTTCCCTCTGCCTTTGCACAGCCTTTCCCGAGCTGCTGTAAATTGAATACGTTGTCTGTTGTGCCGTTGCCGATGCTAAATTCACTTTCAGATTATATAAAAGTAACAAGATTTTGGAAAATAGCTATTGATAGAATAGAAAATATCAAATAGGGAGAAAGCAGTAAATGAAACTGATGGTATGCCCAGTGCCCATGTAGCTTCTGTTTAGCGCAGGGCAGAACCTTTGTGGCCCGTCACACACTGAGGCGGACAGTCCCAGCAGCACTGTCACTTTGCTGACAAAATGTCCCCATCACTAATGAGCATCAAAAACATGCCTGATGACAACTTTTTGCTTTTGAAGATGAAGGTGAGTTATTTATAAAAACAGCGTAAATCTCCAGTGTTTTAAGGAAGAGTAAATCCCGAGGTAGCTACACTCTACAGAACAGACTGCACAAAGTTCTCAAGAGAGCCAAGAATTCTAGTTGTGGGACATCTGGATTAACCAAATGAGAAATAAGGAGAAAGTTGGCCACACCCAGGGAGGGAACCAGCCAAAGCTATTTCAGATATTACACCAAATTTCAACTGAGCAATGCAGCAATGAGCTCCCAGCTGGATGCTATCACCACACCCAGAGGGTGGAGTCCCGTGCTGGGCATGCCCGCGTATGAGATACCCAGGCTCTGGCTCCAGCACTCATTCTATGATTCTTACATTTAGTCAGTTATACCCATCATTCTCCTAGCCCAACTTAAAAACCCATCTGCCTACACCTGTTGCATCCAAGTGGTGGGACTCCATATTAGGGCTACCATTTTAAAGACAAACCTGACAAACTGTATCAAGGGCCCTCTAACCTTACCCTTGTCAAATTAAAAGTTGCAAGGGGAATGCATATTTTCTATCTCTATGTGTACTTTAAAACTAATTATTATATATCTGGGAGTTCAGTCTAAGGGGGGAAAAATACTAAACCTAGAAAAAGACTTGCATCCAAAGATATTCACCAAGTAATTTAAAACAGTGCATCACTGGAAATATGTTCTACAACATATTATGTGGGGCCTCCCCGGTGGCGTAGCGGTTGAGCGCTGGGTTGTGAAGCTGCCCGCAGCCTCTGCAGCGCCAGTTCGATCCCCAGCTGCTCCCCAGCCACCAGAGGAGGGTCCCACATGGCGCGCAGACCTCTCCTGCTGCCCGCTGCTCCCCTCAGCAGTGTACTTCGGTCCTTCTGCCTGCTCTGCTCCCCGCTCTGGCTCTGGTGAATTCTCTCACCCTCCCGCGCTTCTGACTGTACCCAGTGCTTGTATAAATAAATAAAAATAAATCTTTAAAAAAAAAAACATATTATGTGTTGTTGAACAAATAATTGTTGTTCAACAACAGCAAGACAGTTAAATTTCAGTGCATCCATAAGATGGAATAAGGTACTTTTCCTATTCCTAAGGTACTATTACTATTTGGCCATCTTACCCAAAGCAATATACAGATTCAATGCATCCCTATCAAGGTTCTAATAGCATTTTTCAAAGGACAAAACACATACAACTGAAACTTAAAGACGGTGAATAGCCAAAAGCAATCCTGACAAAAATAATGGTGATATCATACTCCCAGACTTCAAACTAGACTACAAAGCTATAGTAATCAAAACATATGGTGCTGGAATGAAAACAGACAAATGGACCAACGGACTAGAGTAGGGAACCTAGAAATAAAGCCATATATATGGAAGTTAACCTACAACAAAGGAGCCAAACGTATAAATTGGAGAAGGGAAGTCATTTCAATAAATGGTGCAAGGAAAACTGGACAGTCACATGCAAAAGAATAAAATGGATGTGACTGTCCATCTCACACCTTACACAAAAATTAACTCAAAATGAATTAAAGACTTGGCTGTAAGATCTGAAGCCATAAAGCACATTGAAGAAAACATAGGCCAGACACCCCATGACACTGGCTTCAGTGATGTCTTTGTGGACTTGTCTCCATTGGCAAGAAAAACAAAAGAAATACAAACAAACAGGACTACATTAAACTAAAAAGCTTTTATATTAAAACAAAGAGACACCCTACTGAATGGGAGAAAATATTTGGTCATCATACATCTAACAAGGTGCTGATATCCAAGATGGATAAAGAATTCACACTACTCAACAAAAAGAAAGGAACCTACAAAAAAAGGGGCAGAAGAGATAGATACTTCTCCAAAGAAAACATACAGGTGGCCAACCAGCACATGAAAAAAAATGCTCATCATCACTTATCACCAGGTAAATGCAAATCAAAACCATAATGACATACTGCCTCACAACTCTGAGACTGATTCATACGAAAAAGACAGAAAAAAGAAGTGTTGGTGAGGACAAGAAGAAAAAGGAACACTATTGGTGGGAATACAGACTAGTACAGCCCTATGGAAAACAGTTGGTTTCTCAAAATATTAAAAACAGATCTACAATATGATCCAGCAAATCCACTCCTAAGTATCTACCCAAAAGAATGCAAAACCACTAGTTCAAAGGGTTCTATGCATTCTACATGCATAGATCAGCCTAAGATCCCAATGACAGATGAGTACATTAAGAAGATGTGGTACATTTACACAATGGAATACTACTCAGCAATTAAAAATAGAAGATGTGTCATTTGTGACAACATGGATGAAACTGGGGGGGGGTGGGGTAATGCTAAGTGACCTAATAAGGAGAAAGACATATCACATGGCTTCACTTATATGCAGAATATAAGGAAACAAAACAAAGATCAGTCAAAACCAAAGCAAAAACCAACCCTAGAAATCTGACTGCAAAATTAAGGCTACCAGAGGGGGAAGGTAAAAAACAAATAGGTGAAGTTCAAATGGACTACAGTGGAGCACTATGGGTGTTTGGTGGTGGGTGTGGTAACACACACTTGAAGAGGTGGGAGCCTATATTTCTGAATCCCGGGGAAAAAAACAGGAAACAACTGCATAATAGAAGCAGTGTGTGCATGCACATGTTCACATACACAGAGAAGGGAGGATTCCAAAGTGTTACTTAACTGTGGGTGCTTGAAAGTGACAGGATTAGGGGTAATTTATTTTCTTTTTTCCAAGTGTTAGGTAGAACTGTAGTTTAAATATTGGAGGGGAAATATCTGAATTTTAAAAACACAAGCTATATTTGCTCTCTGGGCGTCACTGTTATAGTCTGAGTTACAGCGCCTGTGCGTGGGAATGGTGCCCAGCCCCCACTCTGCCAGGCCTGCAGCTTAGAAAAGGCTGTGGACAATATGAGCATCTCTGGTTTGCTGTTGCCTCGTGTCTCGTGGAAGGAGAGCCAAATGTACTCCCAGGGAATGGCAGCCCCCCTCTTTGCCAGCCCACACTCACCCCTAACAACCTCGCCTCCCTCGACTCAAGATTACTGAGGAAACGTCATCTTTCCCATGCGGATCTTCCCACCATTCTGGGGGACGACGGGGACTGCGCCACAAAGGACACGGCTATTCATAGGGAACATCAAATTGAAGTGCAATCTGACAAATGACTCAAATCTGAATCGGCTGGTATTAAGATCTCAGAGTGGGAAGAGGGAAAAGCCTCTGTTCTCCAAAGGACATAATGGGACATTTAACAGATTTTTTTTCAAAGGGCAAATGAACAAACAAACATGCCATTTACAACTCAAATGAAGTAGGCGAAGAATGAGCTGCTTATTAAAAATGCTGCTTTGGAGAAAACAAACCAAGAGACTTGTTTCTCCCTAAATGGATGGCAGATACTCCTACTTTTCAAAATTACCTAGAGCCCAGGAGGCTAAGATCAATAATATCCCCACTCGCAGAGAGCAGATGGCCAGAGCACAGCATAAATACCCCTGAGAGTTTCCCACTTTGAGGGTAGGAGGAGACAATTTAAGGCTGACAGATCTTTCCCCAGAAATGGTATGGCAATGAGTCCTCCATTTACCTGGCATACTAGGCTGAGTTCAAGACATACCCAACCAAGAGGGTTCCGGGGAGTCATGTACAAAAAGGCCCCACTGTGCTTGCTGGTGAGGATGGTTCCAGGCTTTGAAACAAGGCTCATGAGCACAGGGCAGGGCACTTCCTGTAGGAGAGCGGCCAAGGCAGGGGCTAATGAGTAGCCCCAGGTTCTTCCTGACTGCCCCAACTTCAGGGTCCCCTACAAAGGGACACAGGCCAAGAGCAGAGAGAGTCAGAGACAACACATCTCAGAGGTCAGGAGAGACCCGTAAGTCATGGGGGGTGAATACGGCTCCATTCGTCCTTTCCTGGGGCAGGCTAATGGAATGGGCCCCCCACCCTCAGTGAGAACACAAGCCAGGCGGCCCTCGGAGGAGACATGATTTAACCTTTCCCGGCCCCTTCAGACTTTTTTAGGGGCACCAGCAGAAAATTCCCACAGTCGGGAACCTGAACTTATGGGGTGCTGACTGTTAACTCCTGTGGTGTCCTCTGTGTGTGGCAGAGCGCAGGGGTTCCTGGCTATGGGTGGAAGGAATAACACACTCGCGGTCAAATCCTGATGCCCAAGAGAAGAAAGAAGATGCACAAAATTCAGAGGATGAATACAAAAAGCAAAGGAGCAATGTACTGACTAGTTTGCTTTCCAGCGGTAGTGGGTCTTTGAAACTGTTAACACCCAGCAACTGGGTGATGTGGCAACTCTCCAGAGCCCTCTGAGACCACCACCCAGACGTGCTGTCTGCAGCCCTGATCCCAGGGCTAGACTGGGACAAAAACATCACAGTATATGGAACGTGTCCACGAAGACATGCCCCAAACCTGAGCAAGCCCCGGACAGCCCAGCTGACCTCACAGAGCCTGTATAACCTCTGGGACAAAGGGAATTTCAACAGAGACACCCCTCCCCACAACCCCAGGACAGAGGCAGTCTTGAGAACCAGATTGGGTTGTTACATTTTTGTAATTGGCACACTACACCAAGACTGTTTCTTCTTACCTTTGATTTTTCTGCAGACCCAAGCCTGTCGTCATCTTGGAAGCCCATGCAAGAGAGATCAAAAATGGACTTCTTCAGGTGCTGGTTGTCTGCATACAGTTCCTTCACCAGATGGATAAGGTCACTGACCTAGGAGACAAGCGCAGGGAGAGGACTGGCACTAGATTTCAGGCCCAGGGCCACGCCCCTGGACAGAGTCCTTCCTACTGAGCAGCCTTCTCAGCATCACTGGCAGTTAGGAATTCAGGAGGCCTGATTCTAGCCATCAGGCTGCCCTGGGAATGGCACAAAACACTGTCCTGCCTGAATTTGAATTCCAAAGCCACCACTGTCAGCCAAAGAGACCAAGGCAAGCTGCCTAACCTAAGCCTCTATTCCCGCTGCGGAATGGGTCACTGAGGCATGCGCGGGGCCGCAGTCACAATGCACTGAGGTCTCTGGCACAGTCCCAGTGCTCCAGGGCAGCTAATGCTCTCTGTCTTGTATGAGGTGCTCTGGAGGAAAGTGCCCGAAACTGAAGTCTCTGAGACTACGTCAGAGCCTTGTTTTACAACATCGACCTTCTTCTTTGTAGCCTATCGAGCAATGTCAGGAGGAATAAGAGCCTTCAACTATAGAGCAATGACAGCTACTAACGTACTCCCACAAGCTTTAGTCAATCATTCCTTACAGAATCCTGAGGAGGCAGACAGGCTAGTACGACCACCCCCACTTTACAAGTGAGGATATGAAGTTCACTGCTCAAGGTCCCAAGATCAGCTGTCTGGTGAATTAAATGGCCAAAGTGTCTCACGGGATGGAAAAGGGCAGCTTCCTCTGGGCAAAGCAGAGATCCCGGGGCTCCCGGTCCAGTGCTCCTCCTTAGGCACAGGTCTTGCTGAAGCCTGGGACACAAGCAACTGAGCAGCCACCACCTGTCTCCCTGAAAGCTTCAAATCCCAGTGGCCAGTCATTTCCCAAAGACTTCATCTTCATGGGGTAATCACTTGCCCCTCAAATAAAGTAGGACGTCCACCCTGACTGCACAGCAGACATCCAGTATACCAAAACATGAATACAAACTGGACCCATGCCTCAGGAGGTTATAGTGAGAAGAACTCTGATTCTACACTTACTAAGGATCAACCAAGAGAACTACCTCCTCCCCTTCACAGGGCCACAGTGGGTGTAAGAAGCAGCAATCATCACCCCATCTTTTTCATCTTTACAAACTTCAGATGCCTTGAAGGTCCCTGCTTCACCCCTCCCTAAATACCCAAGTTCAGACCTCCATTCTATTTTTACTTTCGTGCCTTACACCTGCTATTTTCTCTTTCTGAGGAACCCCTCCACACAAACTCCTACTCATCCTTCAAAATGTCCTCACAATCACTTCTGTTGTGATCAGCTTCCTCTGATCAAGTGAGCACCCCCAGGGCTGACACTATGCCTCTCCTTTACAACCTCTATGCCTTATACATCTGTCACCACAGTGCTTGCGTGTGTGTGTGTGTGTGTGTGCGCATGTTTCTCTGAAACAAAACTGAATCTGTCATACATGGTCATTTATAATGAGTCGGTGTCCTCTGAACTCACAGTTCCTTTTCTTATCATGGCTCCTAGAATCTTTGAACACTAAACCACACTAACCACACCACTAATCAACAAACTGAAAAACCTTTCCAGTTTTAAAAAAGAGTTATTGATCCAATGTAGACCTTTATCCTTTCAAAAAGCATCTATTAACTTCCACTGTGTGTGTGCCAGGTACTGGGAAATCAGAAGTAAATAAGACACAATCACTAACTCCAAGATGTTCACAATCTAGCAGGGGAGACAGATAAATAACCAGATCATTGCAGATGAGAATGAGAAGAACATCAATGCAATTGTGAACGCCCCGACGGAAAGGTGGCTGACCGCATGGAACCAACAGAGTGTGCTCCCAGAGGAGATGGAGCCTGGGTTGGGTCCTGATATAAGCCCAAGGAGGAATGTATCAGACACGAGGGTCTGGGCCCTCCAGGTGCAGAGAAAGAGCAGACAGGCAGGTAGGACAGACAGCAAGGAGAGGGATGGAGTTTTCAAAGTCCTATACCTCTGGATGCAGGTGGAAGCGAGGCTTCTGGTGATGGTCCTGATGTAGTATATACAGCTGCAGAATCATAATGAGGTACCCCCAAAACTTACCTAATGTTACCAAGTTACTGCAGTATAAATTTCTTTAAAAATGTCTTGAACCCCTCTGATCAAGAACCCAAGAGACAACAAACAGCCAACAGAGGATAGAAAGTTAGATCAATACCTTTTTCTTCAGTTCTTCTTGAGAAAAATGTTCCACTGGAAACTGGTCTTGCTTTCCAAGGCAAATACTCAGATAAGACGTTTGATCACTATAAAATGAAAATGGCTCTTCTGCACGTTAGAAAAAAAAAAGGAGGGGAGGAGGAGAAAAAAAATATCAGAAACAGACCCTTCCCAGACCGATGCCAATGCAATCCATCTAAGGCACTTGAGTGGGTGGGGACAGGCGGCTAGAGGGGGACACGAGTACCCACAGCAAGTTCAATGCGCCACCTTTGGAGCAAAAATAATATTCCCTTTTCTCTAGGCTGCCATTATCATAGCTTAGGTTTCCACCCTGGCCAATTCTGAATTATAATATGCATATCAAATTTTGTGCCTGGAGACCATTTGAGCGGCCCAAGGGATTTCAGTTTAAATGAGGGAATGATTCTGTTTAACAGGTGAGACTATTGGGGGGGGCGGGAGAGACGTGAGCCTCAAGGGTTGAGCCCAAGTGGAGAAAAGTGCCTGATGTATTTTTTTATTGACCCCAGAGTAACCCACAGTAGCAAGTTCCCAGCCCATGTAGAGAAACTTCCTACTCGATGTAAGATAAGAAGATCTTTGGTTGCCTAGGTAAGAGTCAGCATCCTCTGCAGTAAAGGTCATATTCAAATAGAGAGGGAAGGCGCAGCAGAGGGGCAGGCTAATTATTAAGCAAGGCACAGCCACAAATATGATCTCTCTTAAGACAGGCCGGTAAGAGCTGATATACCTAATCTGCTAGAAAGCGCTACAGCTCAAAGGAAGATGTCCTGGCTCAGTCTGAGTAAATCAATCCCCCCTTCCATCCCAAGTCTCAGTTTCTCATGGGATACCTGTCAGAGATGAGAAATTAAGTGCCTGACCCTTGCACACAGTAGGTGCTCAAGAAATAGCAAATCTACCACTGCTATTACCTATTTTTACCATACATGCCGGCCCCAGGGTAGACATACTGAAAGGAAGGGGACAGCACCCAAGACTGGAAGGGGCTCAGCCCCCAGCCAGACAGAGGGCCAACAAAGCTGTGATGAGCAGCCACGCCAGGAACCTTGTGCCCTGTCTCAGGCCTTCCTGAATGAATCACTGCAGCAAGCCAGCATACTCGCGCCCCACATGTCTGCACAGCCAGGCTCTCTGCGCTGGGTGCTAAGATAGCCAGAACCCAGGCATTCTGGGCAAAGAGGGCTATTACCAGAGAATGGGGCTGCAAGGCCCTGAGGTTATGTGCAGCTGAGGCAGCCAAGGGTGCAGAACAGTGCAGAGCAACAAGCCCCACACCCTCCGCAGAACTGCTCCAATGCGCTCAGCCTTTGCGCGTGAGGGCGGAAGCCAGATGGACACACAGGGAGAGACACGAACACAGTCACCACCGAAAAGGAGCTCCAGATGAAATTCTGTGGGCGCCTCAACTCCTACGGGAGTCTTAGAATTCTCGAGGTCCCAGTAGAAAGGCCAAAGGGAAAGACATACAAGAGAGTTTGTACCTTCCCGCCTCTGAAATTCACTGATCTGCTCCTCCAACGTTTTTTTCAAATTCTGATAGGAGAGCACATCCTGTTCCAGTTGCCTCCGAAGAGCCAAAATGCTGCTCAACTCAGCCTGCAGGTTGTTGACACTTGGTAAAAGAAGACAGCAGCAATTGAGAACCACAACTATTTATGCTGTGAGATGCAAAGCCCAGCAAGCCTTCCTTTGATTTTTATGTCTTTTTGTGGGTTGTTTTTTTTTTTTTCTGGTTATAAAAGGAGATACATGTTTATTATAGAAATCTTTAAATGTAAAAGTATAAAGAAAACAAAATTACCATGATCCTACTACCAATTACCAGACAGCAGACTGTATTTCCTCCCAGCCTTTTTTCCCCAAGTATTTCCACAAGGTTGAAAGAATGAACACAGGACACACAACGCCAAACCGTGCGTGCTTTCCTCGCGGGATGGTGCCTTATGCTATTAGAAATGATCTGCAAACATCATCTTTAATGACTATACAATGTTAAGTCAGGTGAATGTCACTTTAGCTCCTGCCCCATTAGTGGATAGTTGGGTCATTTCCAAGTTTTGGGTGGAACTAATTTAATTCTCCAGAATGTTTATGTTTGCAATGGCAAGGGCTTTGCTAAGGAAGAGGAGGTTCTCCACAGTTTGGGTGTCATCTGGCACCCGTGCCTCAGAAGAGGATGTCTGTTGTGTCACTCTGAAAGAGGTGGTACTGGGGGTGAGGGGCTGGAGGGAAGAGAAAAAGAACAAAGAAAGAGAGAACAGGTAACAGGAGGGAGAGACGGCTCAATCTGGGAGCCAAGAGAACTCCACTATGCGGGGCTGGCCACTCACAGCCAGAGTTCCACATCTGGGTCACTGTGATATGAAGCTGAGCTGTACAGAGTGTGTAAGACACCAGAACCACTGAACGTGCAGGAGGCCACAATAAGGCACATCTCCCAATCTGCATTAATCTTGGGCAGAGACTGTCCAGCAGAACTTTCTCTGATGTTGGAATTTGGAAATATTCTGGACCTGTGCTAATATGGTAGCTAATATGGTAGCTCATGTGCTTAGTGAGCATCTGAAATACGGTTAACACACTGAAAAACTGAACGTTTAGTTTTCTTCAGTTTACATTAAAGAGTCCCCTGGTTAGTGGTTCTGGACTGGGCAGTGCAGACCCTCAGGAGGGACGTGGATGCCCCACACACACCGTGCACCTGCGGGGTCACAATGATCACCCCCATCCCTCAGTGGAACAGAAACCCCAGCCCGTGTCTGAGCACCATGGTAATGTTTCGCTGAGCATCTTGAGCCTACAGCTTTATTCACACTCAGATGAGTTTCTTAAGACAGATTTCCAACAGTGCAACTACTGGGTCAAAGTATGTGAACATTTTTCAAGACTACCAAAACACATTAACAAATCAGAAAGCCTCCCTTTTTAAAGACCAAGAAATACATCACTCCCTGTTCAGTGGTCGACCTATGACTCCCTAAGAGGGTCCACAAACACTTTGAACCTGTCTGTAAAAATTTATGAAAATGTGGAATTTTTCTAGAGAGGGTGCAAAAGTTTTCATCAGATTTTTCAAAAGGGATCCACAGTACCAAATGGCTAGAAGCTGCTGCTCTAAGAATGTGTGCTACAGACTCCAACCCACTTCTCCTTCAGAGATTTCTTCCAGCTCCATCCATCGAACCACACACATAAATCAACATATATTGGAAGGAAAATAAACCATTATGTCTAATCTCCTACGCTCACTGCTTTGTAGATGGTGCACTGTGAAGCCGTCTTCTTGCGAGGGAGCAACTTGTACCTGGTTCCATTTCAAGAAAATCATAATGATCAATTTGTAAGGCTGATGGAAAGCTTTACAGGGGTGTCACCACACAGCACTTGCCTGGATGCGGTCATGCTGCAGAGACATTTAACAAGGTAAAAAAGAAGCTTGTTTTAGCAAAGCTCCTGCGATTAGGGCTGGGGAAAGCTAACTGCTTCACCGCCACTTCCATTTCCTGACAGGGTGAAAAGTCCATAGCTTCTGCTCCTGGGCCTATCGGCTGTTTTCCCAACTCCAGGATCTTTTCAAGGTGTGAGGTGTTGGTGGAATAAAGGGGCTTCACTCAGAAGGAAATAGAAGCCCTGGGCGTGCCTCCTTCTGGAAGGTGGCTGGGGCGGAGGCAGGGATGAGAGGTCCGAGACCATGCACTCACCAATGTACAAGACGGTCACATGGCTGAGTCCAATTTCATCTGTAAAATGCGGACAATACCTTCCCTTCAAGATCACTCTGAGGGTTAATGTTAAGGGGAAGAGCTTAGCACCGTGCTGAGCACACAGCGGATGCTCAACAAACATATGTCGGCATCGCCTCCCCCATATCCAAACAACTCCCAAATGAACTGATACTTATGAGCCAAACTTTCTGATTCTCAGGAGTTACAGCAGTGATCCTCGTCTGGAGATAATTTTTCCCCCAAGGGCACATGTGACAATAAGCAGGAACAGTGCTGGGTGTCACCGTCAGGGAGGAGGAGGGTGGCTACTGGCATGTAGTGACAAGACTGAGAGAGAGATGTCACTACATATGCTGCAATGCACAGGGCAGCTCCTCATGACAGAAGTCTCCAGGCCCAAGTCCCAGCAGAGCCATGGCTGAGAAAGCCTGAGTTCCAGGAAGTGCAAACTGTGCCAGTCTAAGAGGAGAGCTGTCTCAGTAAGGGCACTGGCCCGGGAGTCAGGGAGATCTGAGCTTTGACAACTCCTAACTGTAGAAGCTTGGGTAATCCCCTCAACATCCCGAGAGCAGATTTCCCCTTCTGTGATCTGGGGACAAATCTGGGGACAAATCCAGCTGCCCATGACTTGTTTCCTTCCTCCCTTTCCAAGTTAAATGACGTCACATCTCCCAAAACTCCCACTCCTAATGAGAGAGAGAGTTGGTGTCAGTCACGGCGGTCCCATCTGACTTAGCCCACAGTTTTGCCCTCTGGATCTAGCAAGGCCTGAGCACTCTTACCCCCTAAAAGCTAAGCCTGTGCATACTGGGATACTGAGGCATTTGGAAGTTTTTCCGTGTTGTTATTATTCTATATTAATGTTACCATTTACTGAGGGCTTCCAATGTGTCAGGCGGCATTAGGACTAGACACACTATCATCTCTTGTTTCAAAACATCCCTGTAAGATAGGCAGGCAGGCAGGCAGGCAGGTAAGCCAGCCAATTTCAAATGTACAAACACAGGCACTGAGGCTCAGAGTAAAAAGACTTAGCCAAGAGCTCAGAGCTACTAAGTGGCAGAGGTGGGATTTAGAACCAGGTCTGTCTCACCCTAAACATACTTCAACTCTAAAGATGAGCAGGAAACCGTTCAAGCATCCTTAACAGTCACAGCTCTGCCTCAGTCCCATCCTGCTTTTCATTCATTAAAAGAGAGCCTCTGAAACGCAGAGCACCCCCATGCCAAGGGGGCTTGACTGCACCGCACCCACCCACAGGCCGCTCAAGCCCAGCTCAGAATCTGTCTCCCCTGGGAGGAGCCGCAGGATGTACAATTAAACCCACATTGCCCATTCCCTCCTGAGCTCCCCGCATTGCCCAGCCCCACCCCAGGGAAATTACTAGCAGCTGAGGCTTCTTGAAAAAGCTCACTTTCAGAGAGTGATGCCTTCGCCCAGAATTTCATCAGCATGTTTTCATTTTCTCTAAACTCATTTCAGATTTTAAAATCTGAAAATTATCTCATAACTTAGAAGACAGGGGAAGAAGGGGTACGCATTCATCCACAGACCATTTCCTGAGTGCCTACTTCCAGCCCCTCAGATGGGCTGGGAAATGGTGACAGAACAGGGTCCACGGGCCAGACAGTCCTCAAAGGGTGGTGAGGGCAAGAAACAGAGGGGGCAGCTGTCCGAGGGGTCAGTTCAGGCCTCCAGACCAAAGTAACCCTCCAGATGAATTCTCAAGGAGTAGTGGAGACAAAGCAGGGTGTGGCGCTCGCACGAAGATGGAGGCGGGGAAGCACACACCCCAGGAACCACAGCGTGCCACCCCCATTGTGCTAGAGGGAAGGAAGGTAGGTGGGTGGCATCTTTGAACTTTTTGCTGAGGAAAATTTTAGACCTAAACAAAATACAAAGTGATATAATGAGCCCTTCCCTATCTACCTACCGTTCCCACCCTCACCCACCCCAAGTGTCAGGGAGCCATGGCTAGTCCTATTCACTCAGTAGCCACTTCCTTCACTTCTGTCCTGTTTGGAAATGAAACCCAGACACCTTTAACTATTACAGTGTATACAGAGATGACTTCTGAATCTGAGAAATCTCTGAAGCCAACCCTGTATTTACAGAGGGACAAACAGAGGCCCGAGCTGAGCAAGCCAACAGCAGGCTCCTCACCACACATACCTCCCCAGCACCAAACTACTCCAGCAACTCTAAAGCATTGAGTCACTCCACAACAGAGAGACTTGTTTGAGGCCCAGGGTTCTATCACTCAACACCTGTATGACTTTGGACATGTCACTTAACCTCTGAGTTTTCATAGCCTTGGGAGAAACAGGGATTTTATTATTACCTACATCACAGAATAGCTGTTAAGGATCATATAAGATAATACACATGGAAGCACATTCTAGATCTATAATAAAGTATAAAAATCTGACTAATTATTTATTATGACATTTTTATCCTAAGTTCATTGCCTAAAAATCAGACAAGTCTTGATAGGAAATATATGTGTCTGACTTAAATAAGACAATCACCACCCAAGCACTTTAAACTTCCTGAGCAGACTGGAAGGGTTTCACTGCCTCAGAGATCACCAGCATTTATTTAAATGTGTGTTCCTGTGTTCCCACTCACATGTGTGTGACGTCCAAACAGAAACCTTTACCTGTCTGAGTCCTGTAGAGATTTTACCAGGTGGGCATAGATGTCACATTCTTTCTTCAAGACCTGAGTCAGCACTTCATTGTCTAATTGTTGCTTTGCCTGGAAATGACAAAGGGCATCTGACATTAAGGGGAGAATTTCAAAAGAGCACATCCTTACATTATGCAAACATATGTGAATAGTTCTGGTTTTCAAATTCGAAGGAAGGTGGATGCGGGTGCCAGGCCCTGAATCAGGCCACAGTCAGAGAGCACCACCTGCAGGAGGAGTGGGGAATGAGTTTTATTACCTCAGAATAAAGCCGAAAGCCGAGCTTCCAACACTTGACAACTGCTATAAAAGAATCATCAGTTACCTCATCTGCCACCCTCAGAGATGCCGGCCATCTTTTTCACAAACTACAAAGAATGCCTTTCCACGCTTGTTCTCTCTCCAAATAAAAGAAAATCATAAGCCAAAACCTGACAAGTATTAGGGACAAGGGACTTACATTAAAGTGGAAGAGGTCAAGGGTGATCACGCTTTAAAGGCATCCCAAACAGAGTGACGATAAAGAGATCCGAAGTGGATCTCTAGAACTTACAAGCAAGGTAACCTCAGGTAACTAGCTAAACAAACTCTGTGAGGTTCCATCTCCTCATTTATGACATGGGGATGTAATTTTGTGAATCAGCATTGATAAACGTGAAATTTTTTTTATAAGTTCAAATTTTCACTCTGCCACTTACCAAGTCCTAGGACTGAAGAGGTTACTAGGACCTTGGTATTCCTACCTGCAAAATGGTAGACAATAACCACCACCTCATGAAGCTGCAGGGTAGATGAAAGTGAAATATTGTAATGTAAGGAAAACCAAGGAGAGTACCAGACATGCCTATAGCATTTTGTTGGGCCAGAAAATAAAGAATTGCTGGAATAATGACGGAGTGTTGTCAAAAGGACAGAGAAGCCAGTTTGAAAAGGCCAAATATGGGACAATTTAAGCATCAAAATAAACAACAATAGTAACAGATTATAGACTACTAAATAAAACAGATTCAAGACTCTACACTGACATGAATAAATGAATAAATGGAAATAGAGGACTTTTCTTTATAGTAGAACAACTAATAAACATAGACAGAATGATGAAATCAGGAAAATGACCATTTGTCAACCACCAAGGAAATAAAGACTTCAGCCCAGCAGCATAAAAGGATGGCAAAACCAGTGGGTGAAAGTGTAAAGCATAAGACTGTCACACAGACTCAAAACCCATGCACACAGAGACTTATTAATTATAAAGGGGAACAAAAGTAACCGTATAGCTGACACACTGGGCAGACAGCACCTTCATAAAGTTATCAGTGAGCATGGCCATAAAATGGAACAAATCTAAAATGGGTACCTTCAAACAGGACACAAGGAAAGAACACAGCCTCGGTACTGTGCTATTCCAGCCCGAGGCCCCGCCTGAACCCAGTCACTAAAAACATCAGACAAACCCAGACTAAAGAACATCTTATAGCAGAACTGCACTGGCCACTTCAAACGCATCAAGGCTATGAAATCCTAGGGAAGACTGAAGAAATGAAGAATCGAGACTGTCTAGTGCCCACATTATCCTGCAAAGGGCACTGTGGGACAGTTGGTAAAAGCTGCGCCATGTCCCATAGGAGAAGGTCCCCACTTACAGGAAGCAAACCCAGGTATTCAGAGGCGACAGAACTTTAGGGGAAACTTATTCTCAATGACTCGGGAAAAGTAAAGTCCTTTGTCCAACTGCCTGTAAATACGAAAGTAACTCGAAACATGAAGAGAATATCCAGGAAGTTAATGTATATAGAACCCCTAGCACAGTGCCTGGCACAGACCAGAAGTCTCTGAGTGCAGGAGAGACCCTTGCTTAAGGGAGAGTAAGGGGCCACAAACAGTCCTTTGATTTCACACTGACTTAAACCTCCTCCTTAAGTCAAGATACTGCCCAGGACAAGGGTTCTAGCCTCGTTAAGATTCAGGGACTCACTATTTACAATAGCTAAGTTTTGGAAACAACCCAAATGCCAAAAATAGATGACTGGATCAAGAAGATGTGGTACATATACACCATGGAATATTACTCAGCATTCAAAAAAGATAAACACATGCAATTTACAGCAACATGGATGGCACTGGAAGGGATCATGCTCAGCAAAATAAGCCAGAAAGAAAAAGAAAAATACCGGATGGTCTCACTCATAGCAGGAATCTAGAAAACTTAAATAAGGGACCAGGAAAAAGAATAACTATAAGAAAGAAAAAAATCAAAATCAACAAACATGAACCAGAGACACACTATGGGGGGTGGGGGGGCAGGAAAGGAGGGGATTGGGGTCAAAATAAGGGGGTTGCAATTGTATGGGGAATATAAAAATAAAATTTAAAAAAAAAAAAAAAAAAAAAAATCAGGTCAAAAAGAAAAAAAAAAAAGATCCAGGGACTGCATAATTATGAACAGCGGGAAGTTCCATCTTTATTTCCACTAACCTCTAACTGAAATAAATGTGAAGGGAAATGCTACTACTACAAGCCAAAGCAGTATTACTGCTTTCCTCTGACTTCATCATCAAAAGAAATATGGTTACTTTGCACATGCTATCGGCATGGTAAAATATTTATTCACTACCTCAAAATTACAACAGCCACTATACTCACCACTAGGTCTTACCCAGCGCTGTTTCGAGAGTATCTCAATTTTGATAACAAATTTCAAAATAATTGGTTTCCTTTCTGTAATCCTGTGCACATATTAGAATTAAATATTTTTTTAGAGAATGGGTCCTTGGTTTCAATGACCACTGAAAGAATGCCAAGGACAAGAAGAGGCTATGACCCTGGCCTAGGAGCATACAGCTATGCTTCCAGTCCCGGACAAAACAAGGCCAAGATGCCAACTAAGGGTTTCATATGCAAAGTCACCAGTGAGGTGGTGATAAGTGAGTCACCCAACTGCTGGGAATGCCAGGCCCTCTTGTGAGTCATGCCTCACGTCACTGGCACGAGGTGCTCCAAATGCATTTGTGCACAGTGACGTCGTGTGGGATTCTCAGCTCTACCTGCATGCACCAGGTGTGCGGACAGAGGGCCCCAGAGAAGAGACAGGGAAGAACTCAAGAGGACATCTTGGACACAGAAGCTACTGAGACTCAGGCTGTTGGCCACTGTGCTGAGTGTCTCCAGCATTTTCTCATGTAATCCTCATAGCCACCCAAAGAGTTGAGAGGTGAGATTAGGTGTGACCACTCTCCCTGCTGCACAGGTGGCAAAGAGCATGCAAGGTGCGGCCAGCTGTGCATCCAGCAGCTGGACTCCAAGACCCACATGCTTCAGTCCACCCACTGCTTCATGGTGGGTCAAAGCACTGGCACCAGGGAGCCAGCACTGTCAACCACGTCAAAGCCGCCAGAGCAAGGCAGTGGTGGGTAAGAAAGCGAGAACTTACTAACTGCGTGACCTTGAACAAATTATTCAACCCCTCTGTGTTTCTATGGCCTCACCTACAAACAGAGGCAATAATTCTGTTTGTCACATAGCGTTGTTAAGAAAATTACCTGATGAGCTGGGAAGTTTGCCCACGCAAGGCCCCTTCTAGCCTGCAGTCCGAGCCCAGAGGGGGAGCGGGAACCCACTGCTGGGGCAGACCAGGTGCGCAGGGAGTGCATCCCGCATCACCATTTTAGAACAGGGACATTTCTTCAGTAAAGATTGCCTGAAACCGCAGTAGGCTCCCGGAGGAGCCAGAGGTGAGTTGGAAAGTTCACCCACGCCAGGCCCCTTCTGGCCTGCAGTCCGAGCCCAGAGAGGGAGCAGGAACCCACCGCAGGGGCAGACCAGGCGCACAGGGGAGTGTGTCCCGAATCGACATTTTAGAACAGGGACCGTTCTTCAGTAAAGACTGCCGGAAACAGACAGATGGCTCCTGGAGGAGCCAGAGGGGAGCAGAGAAGTTCACCCAAGATGCCGGCCAGTCCCAGCAACACAGTGTCCCAATGCATACGACAAATTAGAAAACAGACAGTAGGGAGTAGAAGAACCACACGCAATCCAGCAACTCCTCAGGAAAAAAGCACACCACAAAAAGAAAACCACCCCCCAGATTGCAATGACAGTAACTTGGAAGAACTTCTGAGCCTTCCAGAAAGAGAATTTAAAATTGCCATGATTAAAAACACTGACAGAAGTCATAAAGGAAAACAATGATAAGGGAAAAATAACCAACGATCAGAAGAATGAAATTGAGTCCCTAAAGAGGGAAGTAAAAGAAATGCAGGAGATCAAAGAATTAATGGAGGCACTAAAGAACTCTGGGAAAAGCAATGAAAGCAGAATAGATGAAATGCAAGAACGAATAAGTACTCTTGAAGACACAAAAATAAAAAGAACCAAAACAGAAAAGGAAAGAGAAGTACGAAGGAAAAAGACCGAAGAGAAGCAAGACTTCGGGAACTATCTGACTCCATGAGGAAAGGAAATATAAGAGTTACAGGAATACCAGAAGGAGAGGAGAGAGATGTAGGAACAGAGGAAATATTCAAGGAGATAATTGAAGAGAACTTCCCAAACATGAAGAAGGAGCTGAAAATTGATATACAAGCAGCAAGAAGAACACCAAACTTCCACGACGAAAGGAAAAATACAGCAAGACACATAAAAGTAAAGCTCCCAAGAATCCAGGACAAGGAAAAAAGAATGAAGCTGACAAGAGGGAAGAAACAGATAACATTCAAAGGAAAACCAATCAGGCTGACATCAGTCTTCTCCGAAGAAACACTACAGGCAAGGAGAGAGTGGAGGGACATAGTCAACAGACTCCAAGAAAACAGATGCCAACCAAGAATACTCTATCCCACAAAGCTTTCCTTCCTCTATGAAGAAAGAATAAGGACCTTCCCAGACAAACAGAAACTCTGGAATTTCATTACGACTAAACCCCCACTCCAAAAAATACTACAAGGAGTCCTAAAGCCAGAACCTAAGAGCGACGAATAACAATGAAAGAAAGCCAAAAACAAAAAAAAAGTTATTAAAAGAATAAATAAATAAAATCAAAGGAAAGACAAACACAATGGCAAATACAGATC